CCTTCGTCTTGTGCCACCGCATCAACGAGCTTATTCTGCTCGTGGTGTCGCCGGGGTTCCATGGCATGATCTCCTCCCCCCCGAAATCGATGGAGCATTGACCTTGCCCGTCATCCTGTCAGTCAAGGGCAACCCCGACCGGGCTCGGCTGCCTACCTAGCCTTGTCGGGCTGGGTGCGCGGGAAGGGAGCTAGGACGACGTCCATTCCCCCCCCCCCCCTCCTCCGCGCATGGGTTGTCAACTCTGTTCAAACGCAGTCGGGGTTGTTGCGGTATTCCAGAAATGGGACATCATTTTACCTCATCCACCGTCTTGGGGCCAAGAGCGCTACCTGCAGAATCTCAGGGGTTCATGGCACGGATGCCATGTGCGTTTCTGGGATATAGGATAGGACTGGATAGATCAGCGGCAAACGAAAACTACCGCCTTGGACTAGCACCTACCTCAGCCCCCTCCATCCGATGGTTACTTTTTCCATAATGGCGCTGGAGACGGCTCTGTCTTGGCCATGAAGCCATCCCTCCTTGAGCGCGTGTGTGTCGGCGCACTTTTCATCTTCATCAAATCGACACGTTACCAAACGAACTGGCACGTCCATCACGTTGATTTACTTTATTCTTTTAAATTAACGCCGAGTCGTGCCTCGAAGCTTCGTAGGTCTCTAACGGCTGGACATCAGGAATCCGTCCATTTCCGTTGTCGCGGTTGCCTCAATGGCACTGAACGTTTCGCGCACGTCTCGGCTTTGGCCTGTTATCCAATAGCCGGCGCGCAACTTAACAGTCTCCTTGGTGCCTCTACTAATGATGATCATCGGTGCTAGACAACGCAACATGACGGGAATGCCGTCTAGTAGCGGGTAGGCGGGCATTCGAGACGGGACGGCCGGCTACATATCACCTAAGACATCTACCGTCTGTGTGTAGTCGCATTGAGAAAAGGGTCTCCTTCTTTGCCACGGGCTACCGTCTTTGATGAGGTATTGGTTTGTATCAGACTTCCGAGCAACGAATAGTGTCTGCGCCATCATAACTATCGGATTCATCAGGCAAGACGGCACATTGCATCGCAGCCACCGGTCCCGGTACGCGAGTGGGGGGTGTGGGGGGTGGGGGGACTGCCTGGCTCCCACATACTTCAGGTATTAATTATGATTCATGTATTAATTATGATTCATGCCGGTAGCTATTTATCAGCGGAAAATGCTTCTTGTTGACCACTTTTGCGTCCGCAGCCCGTCTGCTGTTACAGCTGGCTCGCACATGTCGTGAGGCGTCGCGAGATGATCTTTGGCCCACCTGGCTGCACCGCGATCGTCTGCCGCAGCAGGACATGATGACACGCATTCGTCATAGAGTGCGTTCTAGTGTAATGCGAGCGAGGCCAGGCCCAATAGTATCTTCTATTCCAACGTTTCCACTCCACTTGCGAGGTTTTGGGTGTGTGGTTTTTTTTTAGTTTGGTTTTATTTTATTATATTTGGAGGGGGACGTTGTCGAGGTCCTTCATCTCCTTAATCTTCAAGAATAGTCTGGTAGATTCCGCTGTATGTGGGTTCCGAATCTCGTGACAGATGTCCGTAGATACCACGGATACGTGGGCATCGGATTCCTTGGTCTTCGCTTCGATTCAGGTATCGCCAAGCAGCCATCGATGCCGTTCCCCGTTCCTCGTCTCTCCACGTCACGCTTCTCGAAGTTGATGTGTGCAATAGTGTATACACTGCGCGGTAGAGCAGACGCGTCGTGCACACCGATGGCGCTTCTGTTTTCCGTCAAGGGGGGGTCCTTGTGCTGGTCTTCCCACTCTCCCGGTGAAACGAGAGCGGCCCAGAAGATCGATCCATCGCTCACTCGAGCCCGCCAAACTCGGCTGTTCAGGAGCAGGCTCCGAGTCCCCCCCCCCCCCCCTGGATGTGCTGATGGGGTACGCGTCTACGTACCGAACGAGCGTCAGGATGGGCCAGAAATGAAGTGGGCAGCCCCTGGACATATCCGTGTACGCGGAGCGCTCCTCATTCCAACTTCCCCCTGCATCATGCAGTAGTATCGGCGACAGGCATTGTTCCACTAAATTTAGGGATAAGTCCACTACCTACGCAGGCAGTGGGAAGGGGGAGGGGGTTCGGCATGGGGGGGGGGGGGGGGGGGGGACAGGACAAGCAAGCAGTCCATGGAAGTAACGTACGTGCATTATTTTGGCAGAAAGAATGACACCCCGGCATGGATATCCATGCGGGTTCTGGGATGAGGTCCAAGCCCGCCTGTCTTCTCCAATCTCCACGTACGTGGGGGGGGGGGGGGTGTACCATGTGTGTTCTTGCACGCTCCCCAAAGTGGAAAAGCACGCTCAAGGATGCTTCGTTAAGCTGCTGTCAGATTCGGGTTCGAGAAGCCGCTGGGGAACGCCCGCCCAGTGGAAGTGGGTGGCCCCCTTGAGATTTCCAAAATGGGAGCTATAGCGGATGGACGATATTCAAACGTATGTGCCAACAGCCCGTTGACGTGGAACGGCGCTGTACTGCCTTGAGAGCGGGTTCGGCGGTGACAGCTTTGAAGTCGATGCTACGTCAAGAGAAATGGGCGGGGACCCTCAGGGGTTCAGCAGAGAGGAGCCTGAAGGCAGGGCAAGGAATCGGGGACAAGGGGCTGGGGGGGAACGCCGAGGCTACTGGGAAGACGATGTGGGTAAGAGAAAAAGGGTTCTGGGGCCGGTGAGGTGAAGATGAACATGGGCGACGCGGTTCTGGTTCGGTTTCTTGGTGGGTGGAGCGACGCGTTTGCAGGGCCCCTGGCTCTTGGAAGACGCGTCGGGCGACGAGAGCAGAGAACTACGCGTGTTGTGTCAACAGAACAAGATGGTGAATCATAGTCTTTGTTGGCATAGAGGCGAGAAGCGGTCGGCGTTGAGAAGAGAGAGAGTGTGTGTGTGTGTGCGTGCGTGCGTGTGTGTGTGTGTGTGTGTGTGTGTGAGGAGTCGGCGAGTCTCTGATATATGTTCTCTAAGTAAAGTTGTCTATACGTGTAGGTAGATGTGCTTTCCCTGCCGCGGTAACATAAGACTGGGTGGGAGGATAGGTTGGTTGAAGCATCGACTGGTCGTGTTCCGGAGATTCGGTTCAAACCCTGGGCTCCTCGTGGCGAATCGACCATGATGTTCTCCTTGGCTACCTAGATGCAGATAACTGGATCTTCAAGGCGAATAGCAGTGCTCCGGTACTGGCGCGGTGATGGGTTTCTGGGACGTACTCACATGACCCGGGCTCTCCGCGGGCTTTCGGGCCAGGTGGGATGTATACGACCATGAACGAAGACCCTCTCGGATCACAACGTGTAGTCGTCTACGCCGCTACCTCGTCTGACGGTCCGACTGAAAAGCCATGCGCCTGGCCCTCATGAGCTCTGGCGAGTTAGCAGCTGTAAACTGGATCCGTGTGCTTTCGCCATGATCTGTGCTGTTTGTATATGGTTGTTGGTTCAGATCTCATAATAACGTCTTCATGGCTAGTGGCAATGAGGAATATTCATCACACGTTTGACACGTGTTCCGCGAAGCTTGGCTGGCGTGTGCTGGCCAGCAACATCATCAGAGTAGCGCTTGGTCTCTTGCAATATACACCCGCCGTCCCTCCCGCAGCCTCCAGCGTTTCTACTCGGGTGTGAAGCTCAGCAAAACAGTTGATGTCGTCGATGAAGATGGGGAATACCGCCTTCAGGGGGGCTTCGACGAACTCTCTAAAAGCCACACGTACGCGCTGCGAGCCCCTGGGGTTCGGGTTCATGAAACATTCGAGCAGCGAGTCGGTGCGTTTGTCAATTAGCTACAGGATACGGCTAGGGAGTTCTGGCAGACCAGCGTGTACGTTGGACGAGAGGGGCCGACACTCCTCTACCTTGTCTCCTGCAAGACAAGATCGATTTTGGCTGTGTCTTCATTTGCGATGAGAGTATGCAACGTGCCGGAGCAATGGTTCTCGTTATTGGAACGACGAGGGGCCGTGGACGAGCAGCAGTGACACTCATCAACGAAGAATCCTGTTAGGAGGCGGGCTTATTGGATGGGCGTGTGTTGAATTTGATTGCATTGAAGGGCCATTGACAAACACTGTTGCGATGGAGGCATGAACACTACGCAGTAATTTCATGTGGGCAACTATCTTGCTGTTAGCACACAGGTCGGCACGATACTGGTCCATATTCGAGTCGATACGCTCCTCGGACTCTATATCCGGTGTGATTATGAAGCACCTTACTTTACTCTACAGCGTCGAAGACCATCTTGAGCTCGCCGCAGAGAGTGGAACTGCTTGAAATCCGAGAGTATTGCACCGAGAATCCCATCGACGTTTATCGTGCACGCAAAAAAACTTCAACATCTTCTCAAATCCTCCAGACAGTTGTTATATGAAGTATGGCAGAGACAGGTATGAACTAGCAATGATGCCGTCATAGCCTTGTCCCAAGTCGCGAGGCTCATGACCGAACCCAGCCATCCATGGGGTGATTCTCAACTTGATCTTGGCTTGCCTAGAACAAGCAAGGTGACGGACATGCTGTTCACAATAGTCCAGTCCTCCAGTCAGTTGATAATAACCAAAGCCTAAGACGGCACGAGTTTCTAACAGGCAGCGTTGGTTGTTGTCTCCCCTTTTGCGTCTTCTGCTGTTGTCGAGAGTTGTACCATTTTCTGCCGCAGAGAGACCAGGACTAAGTGATTGCTTGGCTTGCCGAATCATCCAAAACACTGTGCATTGGAAAGTGTTATCGGTCACGCTATATGCGCCTCCGACACCGGCAGCTACCATCTCAATCAGAAGGAACATATCACCCAAAGCGGTTGAAATATCGACCTTACCAACATCTTGAAGGAGATTCCGCATTTGGCAACAAGGATAGCACAGTTTTGGAGGGCTCGTCAAGCAGAAAGAAGCGGCTATATATTGCAGGCCTGGCAGATACATGTAGGCGACGGCTGAAAGGCATCTTTTGACATGGCTTGCCTAGGACGAACAAACCTCAGCTTGCAACCGCGTCGTGTAATACTTTAGCCCCTTCTCCCACCCGTAAACGCCGCCTTCGATACCGAGGTCCCTGATGGCGACAGTCGAGTCGGGATGATAGCTGTACCAGTCCGGGTGCTGCTCGCTGAACCGAAACTGCATGGGCATGTCCGCCCCGAACGCGGGCCCCCTCATCTCCACGGCCGCCTTGTCCGACAGCTCGGCGTAGACGGCCGTCTTGTCCGTGACCATGCTCCAGCCTTCCACGACGGCGGACCACGGGATCAAATCCGTCAGGACCGGCACGAACTTGCCAAACGACTTCTCGGCCTGTGCCAGGATCGCCTGCACGACGATGCCCGTGTTGAGCTCCGCAACCCCGGCATCAGGGACGATGCCCTCGGCCTTGGAGGGCAGCGCCAAGAGGTACTTTCCTAGAAACAGCTGCGGCGCTGAGAACGGGAGGTTGACCAAGATACCCATGTACCAACCGATCCAAATCTCCGTCGTCTTGGCCGCCATCTCCGGGCACGTCTTCTTGACGTACTCGCCGCCTCGGGCCTTGGCGTCCCAGTGCGGGCACGGCAGCTTACCGCCAGAGATGGTCTCGCAGTTGGGCATGGTGCTCAGAACCAGATGTTTGAGCGTGGGCACCTTGGCGGCGGCGTCAGCTATGTTGACGAACTGCTTCTCTTCCCCCGCAGTGGCGGCCTCAATGCCGCCCTTCAACGCGATCTCCCAGAAGTTCGTGGTACCGAAGATGGTCACGGCGCCCTCGAAGGCGCGAGGCAGGCTCGACGCGTCGTCTAGGTTGGCCGAAACCATCTCTATACCCAAGGCTTCAAGCTCCCGAGCTTTGTCGCTGTCTGGATTGCGCGTGACGCCGCGGACCTTCCAGGAAGGGTCCTTTGCGAGCAGACGGGCGACGGAGCCACCCTGGGTTCCAGTGGCGCCAGCGACTACAATGAGAGACATGGCAAAGGAAACGGAAGGTGCGGGGATGTTGCCAAAGTATGTGTAGTGTTTGAGCTGTGGGATGGATGTGAGATTGGATATCGAGGACGCGGTTTCCGCCGTCACGTCATACTGGCCATGGACCCCTTCTGAATATATAGAAAGTGTGGAACAGGGGAATTTAACTGGGTGGTCAAATGCAGAATCACTCACCATTGGGCAACATACGACACTTACATCTTCTGGCATCAAAACTGGAGAAAATCAATAATAGGGATTGCGCATCCTCATCAAGCCGTCATCCGGAGGAAATGGACCGGGATGCGGCAACCAGTGCGGTCGATTGTTGCTTGTATAGCAACACGCCCATATTACATCTTCTTCAAGGAAGGTTATGAGAGGTACTTATGAGGGTTATGTGATTCGTGAAACCAAGATAACCCCGCAATGTCGTACGAAAATAGTGCTATTCGAGGCGGATTTCGCTCCCGATGTGGCCTTTTCAACTTGGCCCCCCATAATTATCTCACTTCTGAATGTGTACACAGATTCTCAATGAACTCGGCGGGGTACATGTTTGTACATTGGTAGGGTGTCCCAGCATACGAGTATACGAAAGATGTTGATTCGCTTCTTAAGAAAACACTAGCCACTATCAAACAAAACAATCCCACATGGTCTCACTTCTTGCGACAAGGAGACATGTTATTACTCACCTTGAGTGCAGCCCAAACCTTACCTCAAAACTGTTCGGGCTCGGGCGCAGGAGAGCACATATGCTCTCCAGGCTTCAGACCAATCTCCCAAAATGTGACCACCTCGCACCTTTGACAGCCATTCTGTTTCTTGACACCGTGAGTAACGCAGCGCACCGGAACACGCGCCGGACGTGGCGGCGCAACAGCCTGGATCTCCGGCCCCACATGTGTAGCGATCCCCGATGACCCCCGATAAGCAGGGCCGAACAAATCCCCATCAGGGTCGCCCTCTGGTGCCGTCTCCGCAGCCTTCTCAGAAGGCTCGGAGGGAAACGCGTCATGCTGCCCGTCGGTAAGACCGGAAAACCTGTGGGAATAATCCGCTGGGTCAGCCAGGAAACCAAACTCGGCGAAGTGGAGAGGTGATACGGGCGGGATGGCTGGTAGTGCATATACTTTGAGAGGGCCCAGGAGTGAGGGCGTTTGTGGAGCCGAGGAGTTGGATTTGTTGTGCGATCTGTGTGGCGAGACATAGGTCAAGGGACGGGTTCGTTCGGAGACGGAAATGGAGTCATCGTCGAGATAGAAGTCAATGTGCTCATCGTTTGCGTCTTCCTCGTTATCATCTTCACCACCTGCGGAGATACCCGCATCGTCGAGGTCGGTCTGCGCCTGAAGCTCCCAGATTCGTCTCTTGTGCTCGGCCTCGCGCTCCTGGGGGACCATCTCCATTCGCAACTTCGCGCTGAGCGGTTTCGTTTGGCGACCTTCTTTCCTCCCGGCGGTATGCATCGGGAAGTCTCCATTAGATGCTGGTGAAGAGGGAGATATTTGCGGTACGTGTTGTCGCTGCGAAGGCGGAACAGAGGCTAGAGTCCCGCCAGATCGGTTCTTGAGAGCCGCGAGGCTCGCCTCCTCGGTGCCGGGATGGTCCAATCCGCTGTGTAGACCGTACGACTTGAATAGCTCTTCGGAAGATTTGAGGCCACGGGTCCAGCTGATGGTGGCTTCTCTCATTCCAATCGCGATCCTGTGAACATCCAGGCGATGATTTGCCCGGCACAAGTCACAGGACTCAGTCACGACCTGCTTGCCGAGAGCATTCGCTAGCGACTGTACAGACAGGGCCATGATCGTGTTCATACTTACCTCTTTGCAGGTCTGCATATAGCCGAACCACGACTTGCCTAATATCTTCACAGGACTTGTGAGGGCTGAAACCGGAACACGTGACGGATCTATCGCGTAGTTCCATTTCCGGGCCGCCTTGAAGGACCAGAAGTTCCACAAGATCCTCGTGGCGTTTAGGTCGGATACGCCGAGTCTGGTGTAGGCGGCCTCGCACGCCTTGCAGAAGCCGAGGATGATGGCTAGTGCTTGTGAATGCTGGCAGAGTGGTGCGATACAGGTGTGGCGCCCAGTCTTGTCTGGTTTATTGCAGAACTTATTGCACTCGACCAGTTCCACGGTGCAGTGGGCACAGATGGTGAAGACGGTCTTCTTAATAAAACACATGCCTGCGACGCGAAGTATCAATCGGAACCGATTAATAGCAATAGGGAAGGCAAGTGAAGGTACTCGCCGTTTGTCTGCTCTTGGATCAAAGTGGTCGTCGATTTTGTTTGGAACGGTTACTGGCGAAAAGAAGAAACTGTGAATAGGTAGATGCTGATGATTACCGAAGACAAGTTTGGTTGCGAGAATTTGGGACTCTCTTATACCAAACGCTGAAAACAAATACCGTGATGTAAAGAGTGAACAATGAGAAGCCTTGCGCACCGAGTTTGCTTAACACCATTGTTCGTACGCACAAGCTCTCAAGACACAACGTCGATGTTGTGGACAAAGATGCTTCCAGAACAACTAGTTAATCGGGTAGATTCTTTTTCAATGTTGGCATTCAAGTCTTGAACCGTACAGCATAATTACATTGTCAATACGAGGGACTCGGCGTGGGAGGGTAGGCGGGGTGCGATTTAAAGTGCTCTGGCGCAAGTTCTCACGTTGGTGCGAGAAGGTTGCTGCCCAGGGAGCAAACATGGATAGACTTGTAGGCACGAAGCCATTATATGAAGTCGTTAATGTCGTGATTATTGTAGGCACTACCAGGTAAAATGCTCAAAGTCCCGGTCCCGTTCCAGGGTCACCTTTCGGGTGCTTCGTGTTTATTCACCCCATCTGTCGAATCAAAGTCGCCGTGCTGCCATTTTCAGGCTCTTCAGCCATCAGGTCGGATAGATAGTCAGCGGGCCGTCTCCATCAATGCATAGTCGATGGAGCAAGCAAGTAAGCAGGTAAGCAAGCATTCACATGCCATACTTCTTGTCCTTGTCCTCGATGGGAAACTCCTTGCCGGTCGTGTTCTTGTACTGGTCCCGGATGAAGTCGGAAATTTGTTCATCCTTTGCTTGCTCAACGGCGCTCTCGTTGTCCTGAGGGCCTTGGCCGAGAACCTTTTCCTGGACGAAGTCGACAGCTGTGTTTTTCTGTCAGCATCTCTGCACGATGAGGCTGTTAAAAAGATTGTGGAGAAGAGAGCCGGTACCCTTGTCAAGACCGTCCTCCTGCTTTTCGCTCTCGCGACCACCACCGGCCATGCCGTTGAGTTTGTCCATGAAGCCTCCAGACTCCTTCTTCTCAGGCTGGTCAGCTGAGGAAGAAGCTGCGTTGTTGTCACCTCCAGCAAGGTTCTTGACGAAGTCCATGGCGAGGGTTTATTGGTGGTGAGGAACGGGGTGTTTTCGATTGCTAAGTTGGCGAGGTGTGAATGATTATGGAGGATTGGGTACAACAAAGAGGAGATGATGAGTTCGGCTACTTGTAGTGAAGAAAGAGGCGACAGGAACCCACCACAAAGCGGGGGGGGTTATCGAGCGATAAATGGTGGCTCAGACTAAGGTAGACAGTACCACTGGTGACACCTTCCTGCCTGTCCAGGTTGTCTTGGCAGCAGCCAGCCAGCTACCTACGTACGGTATTGGGTTGGCAGTCGCGATACGATACACCACGCTCTTGCCGCTCATTGATAGGGAGAGTTACATCATCAGCTGGGCAGGGGCCACTGACGCAGGCCAAGGTTCTGGTCAGCACGGCTCTTGGAGGGGTACCTACCAGTACGCAGTGAATTGGAAGACGTGGGGGAAGCTGGGAAAGCCAGCGCAACATTGTAGTGTAACAACAATGAGACGGATAAACCTGACATGGGAGGCTCCCTCTCATCCTTTGCCAAGAAATACAAAAAGAGTAATGAGGCTAAGAAGGGAGGGTACATGGAGCTAATCCACGCTTGGTGACGTGATGCCCGCCGTGTCATCCCGGTATTCAGCTCGCTTCATCAGGTCCCCTGTCCGACCGACCCCGACCAAGTTTACACTCAGTAGGGCACTGTCATCGGCCGTCGGCGTCTCGTCTCACCAGCTAGACCCCACTTTTATCACATCAAAGTCCTGCACCGCCACACATCGCGGGGTTCTATGGGTGGGCACGAGCTGGGTGTGGCTTGACCCTGACTGGCCTCGCACTTGCCGGCTGACTCAAGCTACGTATTCGTCATGTCGGCGAAAGCGCCCCGCCATCCCACCCGAGCTTTAAATCATTGCGACGGCGGAAACGACGACAGCCGTTGTAGCTGACCACTGCACAGAACAGAACGAAACGACATCTGCAGAGGTACACGGCACGGGAACGGTCAATATGGACACGAAAACGACACCAGACCTCCTGAAGCGACCGCTTTATGGTTCGCCCTCGTACACACTTTGTTACCCCCCATCGCATGCTAACTAAGTCGCAGTCTATGACCTCCCGCCCGAAGTTCTGACAACACTCTCCCTCAAATCCGACGCGTCAATCCCCGATCAGACCCCGCCGTCGCCCCCAGCCAAAGACTTTTCCAGTTCCGATCTCGTAGACTCTCAGGCCTGCTCGCTATGCGCAACCACCTTCTCCTCTGTTCTCGACCAGCGAAGCCATCAAAAGTCCGACTGGCACCACTACAACCTAAAGCAGAAGCTGCGGGGCGCAAATCCCGTGTCCGAAAACGAGTTTGAGAAGCTGATCGGAGACCTTGACGAAAGTCTGTCGGGCTCAGACTCGGAAGAGTCAGAAGACGATGAAGACGAGGCGGGCCGCAAGGAGACTACTCTCACAGCGCTGCTGAGGAAGCAAGCCACCCTCGCCGAGACGAACAGAACCTCCGTGCCCGGCGAAGAAGACGAAGCCGAAGAGACGGTGCGACGAGCAGGCAAGGGCAAGCCCCCCCTGATATGGTTCACTTCCCCCGTCCTCCCCCCCAACACCTACTTCGGCCTGTACCGAGCCATCCTCACGGGCGAAGAGCTTCGCGAGGATGCGAACCTTGTAGAAATTGTCAAGAAGAAGCAGTTGGATCCCATAGCCGCGCCAAAAGTCCCCAAGGACGGCTCGGCACCGCCACCAGCGGCCTATAAGGGCCCTCACTTCTTCTTGTGCATGATCGGCGGCGGCCACTTCGCCGCCATGGTGGTCTCACTCGCACCGCGCCAGAACAAGTCCTCTGTCGGGGCACTGAACAGAGAGGCCACCGTTCTGGCCCACAAGACTTTCCACCGGTATACGACCCGTCGCAAGCAAGGTGGCTCGCAATCCGCCAACGACAACTCCAAGGGCAATGCCCATTCCGCCGGTTCCAGCCTGCGCCGGTACAACGAGCAGGCCTTGGTTGAAGATGTACGCAACCTTCTCCAGGAGTGGAAGGGCCTACTGGACACTTCTGAGTTGCTTTTCATCAGAGCAACGGGAGCGACGAATCGTCGCACGCTGTTTGGGCCGTACGACGGACAGGTCTTGAAGCACAACGACACGAGGATACGAGGATTTCCGTTTAGCACGCGAAGAGCAACGCAGAACGAGCTGATGCGATCTTTCATCGAGCTCACGAGGCTAAAGGTCAGAGAGATCAACCCGGAGGACGAAGCAAAACCAAAGGCGGAACGGCTCACGCCTGCAAAAGCCGCGGCCCCCAAGCCCACGAAGCCCAAGCTTACGGAGGAAGAAGAGACGGCACTCCTGCACACATCACAGATTCAAGCCCTCATACGCCGCTCCAAACTTCCGGCACTGTTGTCGTATCTAAAGAGCAACGACATCAGTCCCGACTTTCAGTTCCAACCGCCAGGTCAGAACTACCACGCACCGACACCCCTGCACCTGGCTGCTCACCAGAATGCCGCGCCTCTGGTCCTCGGCCTCATCACCCGTGCCGGTGCCTCTCCACTCATAACCAACAAGGACGGCAAGACGCCTTTCGACCTCGCGGGTGACAGGTCGACGCGGGATGCCTTCCGCGTCGCTCGCTCGGAGCTCGGCGAGGGCAAGTGGGACTGGGACGCCGCGCGCGTGCCGGCACCGCTAAGCAAGGCAGAGGCGGAGAAGCGCGACGAGCGGGACAAGAAAGAGAGGGAGAGCAAAGAGACGGAGAGGAGGCGCGCCGAGGAAGAGAGGCTACGCGCCGAGGGACCCAGAGTTGATGACAGGAAAAAGAGGGCGGGCGCTCTGGCGGCCGTCGCGTCGACAAAGACGGCGCAGGAGAAGAGAGAGGAAGAGGCGAGAGGCCTCACCCCTGAAATGCGGATGAAGCTTGATCGGGAGAGGAGGGCTAGAGCCGCCGAAGAGCGTCTCAAGCGGATGCAGGGCGGCGGATGAACCGGGCGTCTCTCCAGCACGTGCCGAACGGTCCGGACTATTGTTCCTAGAGGCATTACTTGCCGCGTCTGCCACGAAGATAAACAATCACCTAGGCTAGAAGAAACATCTGAATGGATATACCCGTTAATTGCCTCGCGCATAATAAAGAGACGTCAAAACGGCATGGGTCGATGATCATCCGTATAAACCACACTCCAAGGTGATCCAAAAGGAAAAATGAAAGATCGAAAAGTTGAACCCCCTCCAACCAATCCGACCCCCGTGGCGGATGCCGACGATGGTCCGTCAGCAGCGTCTGCGGAAATCCCCCCCCCCCTTCTGATCATAGGACCGTCTCGCCCAGCACCACCGCAATATATCTAGACTGAGAGGCATCGCAGTCGCGCAGAACATGCGACGGGACACGCAAACGTCCAACTACGCTTCACAGTATGCCTCCTCCCCACCCCCCTCCGCCTGGCGGATTGTAAGATGGACTACGTGTGGCAATATACGACGACAGACACTCATAGCAGGGAGTCTCCCTGCGGAAGAAACTTGACGGGCCGGGTTCGACCACCGTGGCATGACACCTCCCAGGATGACACCCAGGGCGTGGCGTGGCGCGCCCAAGCTCTACACCGAGGCGAGTCTTGGCCAGAGAGCACACCACATCATCATCGGCGCCGCCCGAGGTACCCGGCGGCCGAGACGGCCTGGGCCTCGCCGGCACCAACAAAGTGTCGCCCAAGGTGGCACTGATCGGCATCATGGCATGAGACATCCAGCGGCGGACCGTTCGGACGACGACGACGATGACGATAAAGGGGGACGGGTTCTCGACAACGATGCCTTTCCGATTCCACTCCCTCTCCCGGCGCTGGATTTAAGTACAAAATCTCGGGCGGAACTGACGCCCGCCATGGCGGAACGCAAGCAAACAAACCCCCTTCCCCCTTCAAGCCCCTCCCCCTCTTTCGCCATCGTACGACGAAGCCTGTCCCCCATTTCTATCTGCGACAAAGTGGCACTCTTCTCGCACTGTCGAGTCTTCGTCGTTGACGCGGCGGTATCAAGCCCACCGCCGACGTCAATGCACCGAGACACACACGCCCGCCCAATCCCAACTTTGAGTCTGCTCGCAAGACCGGTGCTGCTTGTTGTTCTCTCCAAGCCACCGTTCTCCACCAAGCCCCTGGTTCAATGTTGGCGGAGAACCGCATCTTTCATCGGCCAGGGGTAAGCGGACGGCGACCGAGCCAAAGAATAATACACCACGTACGAACACCCGCGCGACCTGCCTCCGTCCTGACCCCCCCCCCCCCCTTTCTTCGCATTCTCAAAAGCCGTCCCACCAACCCGCCTCATATCCAAGGCTCAGCCGTGTCCCGCAGACGCCCGGGGGGGAGGTATCCCCATGGGCGTGAACTCCAGAGGCACGCCGTCACCAACGCAGCACGGGGGCAAAAGCCACACGGGGAAACGCTACGCCGCGGGTCGTCCCCAAAGCCACGAAGCGGAGACCCGCAAAACGCCCCGGGATTCCCGTTGATCACGGCAGGTCGCCGTCGGCGATTCACACCGGGGCTAGACTGAAGTCACATAAACAGCTTCCATTTCACAGCCAAGTCCTTGAACACCGGGAGAGGGAAAGGTGTTTTTATTTTTCTTGCACTAAGAAAAATGAAAATTAAAAACAAAAACAAAAATAGATCGATGCCTTGTCGGCCATTAAAGGCCCCGAGACAAGGCAAGGCAAGTCCCTCCTGAACAATACCCATGGCCGTGGTGGGTAGAGATGCGTCGAGCAGTATCCCAACATTGGCGAGATTTCGGCCAGACCCGCGGGCCAGCTTAGTCACAGCCAACCTGCCTACAGAGCAGGTAACACGACGCTCGTTCTCTCTGCTGAACCCCATCTCCACATCTCCTCGCAGTGGGAGGGGATGGAGGAAAGAAAAGAAAGAAGGAAAAAAAAAAGGTGTTGACCAAGATCTGCGAACCACACCAGTGCTCCCGGCCAGCCCTGCTGCACGCAGAATTGCCAGGGACATCTCTCTCCTCTGACGAGCTTCACAGCCACAATCCTACGTCACCGAAAGGCCCGCATGGAGAAAACGCGAGGCCTGCGTCCGGATCGAACATTATGCAGGTTTGGGCGGAGTAGGCCATCAGAACAATCGAGGAGCGCAGACATAGGATAATGGTTTCCACAAGTTCGGACAAAAGTGCTTGATACTCCTGTGTAGACCAGTGTGGCTGTCAGGACGAACGGGATGAACCCGGCTGGGTCCCAGCAAAGTGGAAGAGAAGCACAGCCTATGAGCAAGTAAGGAGTATCCGTACTTGGGCCGTAAATGAAAGGCATTGAGAGAAAATGGGGGGGGGGGAGGCCTTGTGCTGACTGGCCACACCTTTCAGCCGAGCTTTGGAGTCGAGATGAACTTTGGCCCAAGGCGACGACGACAATCTTAGCCACAACTGGAAAGGAAACACTTCGTATCTGCGGAGTGAAACAGCCAAAGCCTGCGTCAGATGGGCCTGTCACCGCTCAACGTGCCCAGAAAGGGTGGTTGAAAGGCGAGCATCGCTGGACAGGAGGTCAACTGCCGCAGGCTGGGCAGTCGGAGATTTCGCACCCCTGTTGCAAGGGTCGGGCGGCTAGCTCGCTCCTCTTTGGGACATCAGCGACGAACCTCCCTGGCCACCACCGTTAGGGTTGTACCATTGCAGGTTAAAGACTCTCCGTTGATGTCGGATCGGGCGACCCTGGTCCCTGGCGTTCAAGCGAGTCGCCTGCGAAGGCCACTTGATTTTGTTTTCTTTCTTTTTTCTTCGGTGCAGGCTGCCTGCCACCCAAAGGGCACTGGGGCAGAGACAAGCCCGGGGACAGAGGCACATAGGCGCACCGACGGCTTAAAGCCACGTTGGCCGGCCCTTGCTACCAATGGGTCTGGTTGAGAGATCACAAAGTGCCGAAGAACCAAAATGCAGCCTCGGCAGACAGCAGTTGTCGAGATTGGAAGCTCAGCGGGACCTGGGGATTGAGAGGACCATGGAGCCCGGTTGTCCGTGTGGCGGGGGGGAGAGAAGAGCATCCCAGCGCACGACAGCGTGTGACACGATGGGAAACTCGCCGTAATTGCTTTGTCTTTCTCCAGGAACCCGTTTTTGGACGTTCCGATTTCCTCTTTTGTCTATCCAGGCACGGGACTAATCTGCGGGACTCAATGATCGACGTCAAGGCAGGGTAGATGGCATGGATCGTGGGGAGGGTCGCGTAAACCCCAATGCCCTGCCGTTGATGAATTCGATCGAATGCTCATTATATATCTCGACAAACCTCGGCGCCAATGACGAGATGAGCAGCCCGGTGGCCCTTCCATGTTCGAGCACCGGCCCGGAGGCATGATTGGAAATTGATACCGGGACTGCTTCCGGACAGTGACGAACGGAGGTCGTTGGGATTGAGGACAGGCCTCACTCCGTAGGGTTCGGAAAAGGGTTCTTTCTTGGTGGCTTTCAGTGACGCCCGCCAGGATAGTCAAGAGCGCGCGGAAAGGATCAGGCGGTATCACAGCGCCGCTGTCTGCGAGCACAGTCGGACTTGGGCGACTAGGGAGCATTGTATGTCCCCTGCCTGTTCATATGTCATCCAATCTCCCCTGACCTAGTCTGCTGTACGCCGCGTCGGCTCAAGCTCCACTGCACGAGCCTCGACGCCGCCTACTACGTTAATTGTCTAGAGTCAAGGAAGGTAAGAAGAATAGAACGCAGAGTACGGACTCCGTATGGTTATTTAGTTGACAGTGAGAAGAGGTGCTGTTTCAGCCGAATGCAAGCGGAAATTGAAGGGCTTTCCAAGCTTAGGTGGAGGGAAAGGCGGTTGGTTGTATTATTGCGACTTTGGGTATGGCTCGTGTTCTCGGATTCAGGTGAGGATGCCCGATTAGGTAAAGGGCCCCGGGCTGTGTCGGCTCTTTCGGGCCCGGTGGGCGTTCGGTCGGGCAGTCGGTCGACGTCATGCTCGTAATAATCGGTGTGCCTCCGTCCTGTCTGTCGGTCGGGGATAGACGGCCGAGTTGTATGCCGTCGACGGGTTGGTCAATGGCCATTCATCAACAACATGGTCGTCAGAGTGTCGCCAAGGGTTTGGCGCCCGACTTTGAGTAATTGGCGTAATCCATCGCCTCGGGATAGGCAGGCATCGACATGTCTTGGATAGACAGTGGATTAACAAGACTTTGCAGCACTGACGGGTGGCGGTGGGTGGCGATGAGTTTTCTGGACAAGGCGCCTGTCAGCAGCCATCACGTCGTGGCGCGCGGTCAAGCCAGCGCTTCCCGGAGGATTGCAAGAAAGTCTTGAATCGTGGCCCAATACGACGCTAGCCATGTTGTAGCGTCTCGCCCAATCACCCATCCAAGAGAGGAGGATGGTTGGATCTAAAAACAAAATCTAAACAGCGAAAGAGGTGTCGATCCACACACTCAACGAGAACAGATGCGCCGGGAGGGGTGGCTAAGAAGCGAGATGGAAACCACCAATAATGTAACCTTGTCGCCAAGGTGGTAGTAGTGTACCTAGCAGCACACGGTTTGTTGTCTTGGTTTTGCCGGCTTCGGGTGGCTTGATGGCTTTGAGTGGTGAAACAAGCCGTTTACGCTTGAGGGATCTTTGGGATGGGCATTCAGGTCTAGACAGGCGGGGCACTTTCTAAAAGTTGCACGCGGACAGTCCAGGATTGAGCATGGCGACATCTGTCGATGTGTCATTGACGGGCGGCATGCAGCAAGTCGTAGAAGGGGGTTCTCTGTCTGCTGTGTTGAGGCCCATTGGCCATTAAGGCTCGGTGTAGCATTGGGTGCGGTCGTCATTTTCTAGTTGCTCCGGTGGCCGGGCGGATGAACAAGGGTTCAAGACTGCCGGCAATTAGTTGAAAAGAAATGTATGGATATCCAAGACGAGATGATATCGCTTGACGTGACAAGAGTGGCAACCGAAATCGACCCCCGAACCGATCGAACTATTTGGATAGACTCTGTTCCGGGGAGGGGGCAGGCAGCCAGACCATGAGGAAGCGAAGGTCGGGGAGGGCCTTGTGACCACGGGGCCTGAGCATCGATAGGTAGCCCAGTATGAGAAGTGGGTGCCGATGGATTGGGGAAACAAGACGGCACGACAGGGCCGGCCTGTCATGATGGGAAAAAGGATTTATCGAGGATCTTGGTCACGGGGATGAGGGAGAGAGAGAGAGAGAGTCCTGAATCTGCGATCAAGGCCACCCCGACTGTTCTGTCGTGCAGGATACATGGGTACTGGGTAGTACGGTATGGCCCCCTATTGGGATGCAGGTTCGATGCCTTTTCATTGAAGAGTCGACTACGGAGTACCTAGGTGAAGGAAGATGAAAACGACGTGGGCCAGGACAAGGTCGCCATGTGAACAGTCGAATACCTAGGTACCTGTTTAGATAGACATAGGACAAGGAGCGCCATGGCCTCCTATGAGAAAGACCCCTTTTCTCTCTAGCTACTGGGTACGGAGTACTGCTTACTGAGTACTTCCTACTGAGTACTACCTGCCACTACGCGAACCATTCGAGCACCTACTAGGTGGTAGGTGCTTGTGTACGTACATAATACGACTTTGGCAAGAAGCAAGAAGCAAGAGGTGAGAGGTGAGAGGTGAGAGGTAAGAAAGACAGGGGGGCTACTCCTGGTATGGTCTGGACTCTGGCCTGGCCTGGTGTAGGTACCTACCTATTGCAAGAAGTTTCCTTCCGTTTATCGATGATTGGCCCCGAGTCGCGGTTCCTGCATTGGTGTGGCAAGGGAGCCAGGGGCGTGGCTGAGCGTTTCAACTTGCACCAAGGAGTTAGGTAGGGCAAGCGCCAACGACACGAGGACGGCAGTACGACAGTCAACTGACAGCTGCAGCTGCAGCAGAGGGAACCAATCCTGGAAAGAAGGATTGGTAAAACGAGTTTTTATTTTCATCTTTGCTGTCATTTTGGGTAAAAGCTTCTTTGGCCCGATGCCTCCTCGTTTAAAGTGCCGTGGGCACGTACCTACCTACCTACAGTGGTAGGAAGGTACCTTGATGCACGTACGCATTACTACGTAGGCAAACCATCATATCCGAGACGGTGGCGGGTTGAAGTGCTATGTATGGATACGAACTCATGGAATACATACTGTCCAACAGCATCGGCCCTTTTGACATGATGTTGTCGGCCTGAGCCCCGGTGACGGAGGAGGGAAGAAGAGGAAGAAGAAGAAGAAGAAGAAGAAGAAAAAGGTAAAGCCTAAAATAACACACAGTCTGTCGTCATCCTCAGCCAGACATAAAAAGCGCGCACGACGAGCTGACGTTAGGCGCGGAGACCAGCGCATCGCCGCGTCTACGCCACTGAATGCAGTGCACGAAGAGCGGGAATGCAATAGGTATGGAGACTGAGCGTCCGAGATACTCCAGACTACCTACGGATATTAGGTAATCTACGATTGGCTGGGCCGGGGGATGGCTGGGATACGGTAGTACGGATACAAGTACGTACCTAGTATCCGTACCCCGTAAACGTAAAAGCCGAGGTACGTATCCAAGGCGGAGGACCCCTCCTAACACAGTCCAACGGGGGACATGGTGCAGTTGCGGTTTTGCGCGTTGCAGCCAGTTCGAACCGAATCCCGAATCCAGTTGGAAAGCCGCTCGTTCCAGGACCAGCCTCGTCTTGGGAGCCTGTCTCCCGCAGCGCCCAGCCAAGATTCCAATGCCAGCCTTTGTGGAGTGTAGCATTTAAAACGGCCTAACGGCCTGTCAGCCCAGGAAACGCAGACCTTTGGAACAGGAACAACAGAGGCTGCGCGCGGGGCCCTGTTTTCCCCTCGCTTTCTTTCTTGCTTTTCCGCCTCTCGCTCTCTCACTCTCCTGCCCCTCCCCCCCCTACCAAATGAGAGAACGGTTCGGGTCTTGGGCCTCTCGCTTTCGCTCTCTGCTGTTCGCTTGTTTGTATGTATGGTTGAATATTCTCTCAATCCGAGTTTCTACCATGTAGGAAGGTAGGTAAACCCTGGGTATTGCCCTCTGGTTTCCTTTCATGTTCCTGCACGGGAATAATGGGAAGGCAGGGGTACCCCCAGCTGGTTTACCTAGTTTAAATGTGCCTGCCTGTATCCGTACCGTGGACTCCACTACGTAGTACGTACAATGTAGTACTCCGTATCCGTACATACTATCCGTGTCCGTACAGCTATGTAAGATACCTCGGTACCTACTTGCCTGCCCTAGGTACGGATAGTTTACCTACTTACACTATCCGTACTACCTACATAGTATGTCTGTGTATGAAGCATCGGCAAGCACAGTGGTTGAAGATGATGCAACCCGGCCTGCATGCAAGGAAGAAACAGACCACGGCACGTACACAGATGCAATGCCGTGTGTCATCATCATCTGCCAGTCTGCCCTGCAGCTGTCCTCTTCTATTCATCTTCGAGTCCCTAGCTGCAGCGACGGCGGCAACGCACCGACTTACCTCACCTCAACCTCAATCTGCCTTCACAGACTTGTCTCGACATCTCACCCTCACCAAGCCGAACAACCGCCGCTGTCTTGCATCCGCTGCCGCCTCTTCCGTCCACCATGGCTTGCTTGGACTGATCGACGGCACCTTCATCTCCAGCATAACAAGCCGTGCCATCTAGTCTCGACCGGGCGCCGCCCAGTGCCATCTCCTCGCCGAGTCGCTTGCTTGCTTGTAATTCCTGACTCTGTCCACACAACCAACACATGTTCATCACCACCATGCGCATATCGTCATTCTCCATGCCCATAGCCCTGTGGCATATGCCAAAGCAAAGCACTTGCCTTGGTGCCACCACGCCTCCGCGCCAATGCATGAGCATGGTCATCAGCATCATCGCCGCTAGCATTGCCTTTGTTACCCAAGGCGGAGCACACTCAATCTCAACACCAATCTCTCGGCTCCATCCCGCGCGGCCCATGGGACAGAGAGTCGGCCATCCGGCTCCAGCGAGTCCCGTCTTTCCTCATGCTGTTACCCATGGTCCCGTGCATGTCAAGCATTGTTTCTGCATCGCTTCGGGGGATCTGAGGAGGCCCCCAGTGCCAGGGGCCAGAAACCGCTTTCTCAGTCTTTTCCTCGCTCCCATCCAAGCACCACTCACTCAAAGGGGATGAATCTTTCAACCGCCCAGGTGCCAGACGCGAAGAAGGCAGTGCTGTTTCTGGCGCCGTCCTGCAATCCCCCTTTGCCAGTCATCCGCCAGCCGGCCTATTCGAGAAACCAACCCCTGCTCGATGATGGCCACCAGGGGGGCTGCTATCAACATTTCTTTGCTTCCTCTCCCCCCTCTCTCTCTCTCTCTCCTCACCCGTTGACCGCATCCCATGTCCACATCTGCGCCTACCGTGGCCACCACCAATCAGCCAGTCAGTCCACTGTCCACAGGCCCCCATGTCTAGTGTCGTCTTCATCCTTAGCGGTGCCATGGGCCCGCTGTACCTGCACTAGCCGTCGTCCGCGCAGCACGGACGTGTACTCGCACCTCCTGCCGACTCCACCCCGTTCCTCGTCCCCCGTCCACTCCTCTCCGCCCCCCTCCTCAGGTGAGGCATCTCACAGCCAGCCAGCCAACCGCCGCCCCCGTGATAGGAGTTGTCCTTCTGGTATATAGGTTCTGTCTCTTCCTGCCGCTGTTTGCCGTTTCCGTTCTTATCCCTCATCGAACATTCTTTCCTACTTTCGTTCTATCAAACAAACTGTCCATTCGCTTTCTGAGTGTAAAGCCATTCGCTTCTTTACTCTCTCGACTTAATATCCCACTTAGTTTTTTCTTCGTTTCCTTCGCTATAGAACCACAGTCCTACACTCTTAGGAAAGAATAATCGACCATCATCCTTCACAATGAAGAACTCCGTTGCTCTTTTGGCTCTTGCCGCCGGCGTCAGCCAGGTCACTGCTACCGTATGTCTCTCTCATATACCCCTAACTGCCGGATTCCGTCACCATATCATGATGAGCCCCTGGATCACTAACAAGCTCCGCAGGGCTGGAACAAATTCCCTTCTTTCACCTGCCCCCAGAACACCGACAACCAGTGCGACGACAAGCAGAAGTCCGGCTTCTCCTGGGGCGACCTGAGCACGGGATCTTTCAGCAACTATGGCGGATTTGACTTCAAGGGCTGGACCTGTGAAAGCGACTTCTCCAAGCGCGATCTCCTGGCTCCCCGCACCTTCACCAAGGGCAAGGTCATCTCTGGATCTTGCGGACAGAAGAAGGAGACCTCTCCCTCTTTTGGCTGTGGCTCCGCTCCCGGCGGCCCTGACAAGTTCTCCATCTCCCACTTCGACGTGACTGTCGAGTTCGACTGCGACCTGGAATTCCACTACGACATGCCCGATGGCTCCAACTGCAAGCAACGCTCTCCCTGCTCCAAGTCCGGAACCACTGTCACGAACTCCCAGTGCGGTGGTGCCAAGAACGTCACCATCGTCTACCCCTCGCAGCCCTCCAAGCCCAAGTCGACCTGCGGTGTCGGTATCCACACCATCGGCTTCGACTGCAGCCCTGCCGAGACCCCCAAGCCTCCCAAGACCACCGTGAGCCAGGCTCTCCCCTCCGCCACCACTCTCAGCACCCAGATCCAGGTCCCCACCACTCCCGCCGGCATCCCCACCGTCTCTAAGCCCGTCGAGGAGACCAAGCCCGCCACCACCGCCCCCGTCAAGGAGACCGTCTCTGTCCCCGTCCCCATCCAGAGCGAGACCACCCCCGTCGTTCTTCCCTCCATCTCCGTCCCCGTCAAGGGGTCGACCACTGCTGCTGTTGTCCCTTCTGTCACCACGCCCGCCGAGCAGACACCCGTCATCAGCAAGCCCGTTGAGGAGACCACCCCTTCTCAGTTCCCCACCATCCCCGTCCCCGCCCCGGTCAACTCCACCAAGCCCGCCCTGATCGAGTCCACCCCGGCTGTCGTCACCCCTGTTGTCCCCGAGACCAAGACCACTGTCTACGACACCACTTCCACCATCTACACCACTCGTGTCGAGACTGTGACCTCTTGCGCACCTGAGATCACCAACTGCCCCGCCAACTCTCACGCTGTGGTTACCCGCACCGTTCCTCTCACCACCACCGTCTGCCCCGTCACCGAGACCATCGTCCACACCCCTGGCCCTGCTCCTACCAAGCCCGCTGGCCAGCCCCCCAAGGGCGTCTCCTCCGAGAAGCCTGTCGGCTCTGTCCCCGTCGTCAAGCCCTCGGGTACCAAGCCCGCTGGCCCCATCGAGACCCTTCCTTGCCCCGATGTTGTTCCTCAGTGCCTGAGCAGTTGGATGTGGTCCACCGGCTGCGCTGCCAACTCTGACGCCAACTGCTACTGCCCTGACGCTCAGTTCGTCGAGAACATCTTCTCTTGCATCTACGCCTACGGCGCCAGCGACGACATCATCTCCAAGGCCACCCTGTTCTTCCAGGGCATCTGCGCCCCTCACATTCCCCAGAACCCCGCCATCGTCACTGCCCCCGCCACCATCACCACGGCCCTCACTGTTGGTGTCGAGAAGCCTGCCCCGACTAACCCCGCTGATATCACCACCGTCGTCATTGACAAGACGGTTGTCGTCCCCTGTGTCACTGGCGGCACCACCATCCCCGGATCGTCCACCACTGCCACCATCAAGACGACCCTCGTGGTCCCCCAAGTCTCTTTCGCCACTAACTCCGCCTCCGACGTCGTCCCCGTCCCCATCAAGGCCCCCACCGCCCCGGCCGGCGGTGCTGGCCCCAGCGGCGTCCCGGCGGCCCCCTACCCCACCGGCCCCGCTGCCGGCGCCAGCAAGCCGGCCGGCACTGGCGGTCTTAAGCCTACCCCTACCGGTGTTGTCACCGCCGGTGCTGGCAAGGCTTCCTTCGGCATCGGTGCTATTGTCGCCATTGCCGCCCTCGCTGCATTCTAATCTTCTCAACGTTTTTCTTTTCTACCTCCCCCTTCTGCTAAGCTAGCCCCTTGTGCGAGATTGGAGGAACAGCTGAAAATATTTTCCTTGTTGTACCAATGTCACTATGCAGACTCTGTAGCTTACAAAGTTCTGCAATCATACATACCATTCTTACGATCCTTACGAATAAACCGTTGCATGCGGGGTGGTTGGTCTTGGGGAATAGGGATTTCTTAGGACTGTACCACCATTTTTTGTCTTTTTTTTTTTGTCTACCGCAACAAAACCTGCCCGCAAGGTAGAGCGCACAAGCAATGGATCGATCACAGTGCTCGGCTTCCAGCTCTCTCCCTCCCCCTTGCTCTTTTTTCTTTATGGATCTTTGGGAAGAAGCAAATGTACCAGAAAAGGAGGTCGGTTGGGCGAGGTGTTGGATCCCGGCGGTATACCCTGGCTGGTTAGTTTGTGTAATATTTAATAGCTCCGCCCTTGTGAGAAGAATGCAGAATGCGTTAAAAAAACATGAGTAAAAATATAAAACCTGGTGCTTAATCTGCTGGTCCTACGACGTGCTACGTTTTGAAGGACAAAAAAAGAGGATTGGATGGCGTTAGAGGTGTCGTCTACAATGGCTCCTGTGAGTAAATCAATCTGCCACCTTTTTCGAGTCTGACGGTTACCATGGAGAGACCAATTATCCACCGTCTCCCAGCCGCACAGAAGGACATCGTCGTCTCGACTGACGACGCAGGCAGGCCCCGGGGTCCTGAGAGCTTGTCCTCGGAGAACGGTACGGTAGGCGTCTCCATCAGCTTCGACTTTGGTCCGTAGCGGTCCGCATTCCGAGTCGAGCCGCTTTGCTGCAAAGTCACAGACCTGGCTTGCGTACCTCTGTTGGGAGGGGGGGACCAGACGTGCACACCGTCATGATCCTGTCAGGGGCGCACACCACTGCATGGCGGCGAGGGGCTGCCTCCAAGCTATCTTCCCCACTACACTATCAATGCAGTCAGACACTGCTCGCCAGCAACAGCATGCCTCTGTGGGTAATGCAAAGTGGTTGGTAAGGAACAACCGATTCGTCTTCACGCTGTCTTCACGGTCTCCATGTCAGTTCGGCTGCACGACCGCGAGTTGCCCATGTAGCTCGTTGGATCGGGCAACGAGACTACGAAGCGGCAGAGGGAGGTGGCAAAAGCAGATCCCTATCTTTGTGAAGCTGCATGAGGACCAGGGCCATCCATTTCCGGTGTCCTCACGTCGGAGAGAGAGAGAGAGAGCGCAGACCACTTCGTGTAGAGCGGGTGGGCAGAGAACGTTGCAATGTAGGCTGGCAGCCCATCCCAGTCGGCTTCGGCAAACCAGCCGAGCTGCAATGAATAACATTAAACTTGTAAGTATGTAATAAGCACGATGGTATGTGTCTAGAAGCCGGCCGCGCAGGCCGGTCGTGTCCTTCAACTTGGCCGGAATGCCGTATATGGTCTGTCATAAAGCATGGTAAGTGCAAGAGAATATCGCGCCCCCCCGCCGCACAACGCCCAACAGCTTCAAAATGAACAACCTCCTTTTTAGTGAATATGATGTGGGTTTATTCGCGGCCCGATTCCGAGGCGTAGTCATCTACGAGACTCTGCATCTCGGCGTCATGGATTCTGCGATCCTGCAGCCTGCGCTGGAGTGGCTCCGCCTGCTCGAATGAACCGCGACGGCCCCAATTATGAGGCTGGCGCTTGAGGAAGGCGCCAACAGAGCCGAGATAGCCCTCGTGGCGGAGGAAGTAGGCCTGCTTCTTGCCCTGAGACCAGAACTTAATGGCGTAACTAAGGGTGTTGATCGTTTGCCGGTGGCCGCGGATGAAGGAGCCTCCAAAGTAAATGTGGTCGAGGTTGTGAATTTGCGATTGGAGGAAAGCAATCTGACCAATGTTGTTTGAAATAGCATATAGAAGAGATCGGGAGATGTCAGCACCAGAGAACGGCTGGTCTGAGGCATGCTCCGCGGCGGCGTCTTGGTGACCCCCCCCGGCAGGCTCGACAGGGTCCGAGGAAGAACAATGCGTGTTCTTGTTGTCGCGGTTGTGAAGGCCACCGTGGTCCTCGGCTTCGTTCTCGGCTGTTCGCTTCATGCGGAATACCTTGCCGAACGAAGAAGCGATCGTTGTGCTCTTGAGCCCGATTTTTCCGTAGTCGCCGCCGTAGATGTCGCCAACTAGCATGTCCACTTTGGCGTTATCCCCTCGTTCGGACAGGTCGAGCATCTCGTCAAAGGTCCGAGCGCCGGTGAGCAGAGAGAGGAGACCCCATAGCGTGCCACCTCCGAGCGAGGTTCCGCCCACACGCTGGTACTCGCGGGGACCCGAAACCTTGAGGAGCGAGACGCCGGAGCCAATATTGACGAGGAGATAGGGATAAATATTTTCCGAGGGCGACACGAAGTGCATGGGGTCGGTCTCGCTATAAGTGAAGACCTCGCGGGGTATCTCGGTGATGAAGAAGTCAAGACCTGGGCATGAATTAGCACCTCTCCCCAAAAAGACCACACAGACCAAACTTGGGGAGGGAGCACGTTGGAGGGCTTACCAATAATGAGGCATTCCATCTCTTCCTCGCGCAGGACATCGACGCCCAGGACGTCCCGCATCTTGTCGTAGAACTTGAAGGCGCCGCCGCCGGTGGCCATGACGCTCAATTCGTTCGGCTTGGAGCCATTGAGAGTCTGCTGCTTATCCTTGAGGTGACGCATGAACTCGATGCAGTCGTCGATGCGATCGGTCTCGAAGTTGAGGAAGTTGAGGCGGCCACCAGGGTCGGCGGAGTGAGGTTCGCGCGTGAAGTAGACGAGCTTGATCAGAGAGCCGCCAATCTGCGCGACGGCACGTTAGTATCGAACAAGAAGGAGGGGCGGGAGGGGGCGTAGAGCGGAGGTTCGCATACATCAACGGCGATGTGGCTCACGACGGCATGGTGGTTGGGCAGGCGAATATCGCTCGTCTCGTGGTGGGTCGGCGAACCTCGGCCATTGTTGCTCGGAGAACTCGAGTCAGGATCGACGATGAAGGCGCCCTTAACGTTGATACGGACGGAGCCCGGGCGGATGATGGTATTGTCAATTTCTTCGGTGCTCGTCATGGTCCGGGCTCTCGTGCGAATTTCGGCGCCAGCCAGGACTGCGGGCTCGGAAGAGGAGGTGTTGGTATTGGTGATGGTGTTGTTGTCGTTGTCGTTGTTGTTGTTGTTGTTCAGTTTGTCGTTGGGTCTAGGATCCTCAACCGCCGAGCCTCCATCTTCTGGCGCGGGGCCCATGCTCGGACTTTATGGGGGTACTGGTTGTCGGGCGCGTAGGCGGCCGGACGGAGGTGGCTTGGGACAGTGCAATTCATGAATTGGAGGCCCGAGAGCGGCGTGGTCAGGATCGCGGGAGGCAGGCCGGGGGACGGCTGGTGAGGATGGACGACAGGTGGTCGGGGTAGTGTCGGCTCCGGGTTCGCCTTGGGCTGCGTCAATTCGGTTCGGAGTTGAAGGAGGGGGAGATTCATCGAGGGGTTTGGATTGTGGGGGAACAGTCGACGATTTTGTGTCGAACAGACTGGAATCCTTGTCTTAATTACTTTTGCGCGCGAGTCTCCCATGGGGTCGGATCGCTTATCGATAAGATGGATGGATACAAAAGGTTGGATGTGCTCTTTCCTATCTGGGCAAGTACCTGTTGCGCTACCAGGGTACGAATACACACTACTCAGCTGGACATGGGATGGGGACACCAAGTGCACCACAGCGGCTCTTTGTAGGCCCCAGCGCACCAGAGGGAAACACTTATCTCGTTCCCAGCGTCTAGGTATCTAGATACCTGACTTGGGCGGTTCAAATGATGTGAAGGATGAATACATGGTAGGTACTATGTATACAGGTGGCTTCCTTCTCCCTGGACCATCGGACGTCCATCCAGGCCTCGTTTGTTTGCCGGGCCATCCGTGCGGCGGTTACTTCCGCTGATGACCGCGTATTCGTGTTGAGTCATCACGGTACTATTGATCACTGATCATCGCCTGTGGGCTGTCCGATTGGAAACTGTAATCACCGGTGCTTACCTCACCGTGTAATTAAGCAATTACCATTCAGTCCAGTCATTTCGCAGGCGGGCCGACGAAGGAAAAGAACCTATCGATGCTGCCCTCACACTGTCACATGCCAGACCATGCAAGTCGAGCAGATAGAGCGAACGACATCTTCATTGGCGTTGTTAAGGCTATCGGCAATCGTCCAGAAAATCGGGTCCTTGGGCTTCGTCACGGGATCCTCCCGCCTCATATGACTGGCCGTGCGAGCGAGAGCCTTCGACTTTACGCGCCGAGACGGATTGCCTTGGCGCGAAGACAACCGGCTGGCTGGCTAGCTGATTGGTTGCTGCGCACAGGGCTGAACTGGTACGTATGCCTTTGAAGCCCCTTCTGCGCAATGACCAGAGTCGTTGTGGGACAAATCTCACGTGGGCATCCGTGGTCGAGTGCCTGGCCACCCTTACTTACACCCATGATACCGCAGCAGGCAATCCTGAACATGCGCCGCGCTTCCCGCTCTGATCCATAATCATGTCTACTTGTTTGTGGTGGCGCACACCTAGCCGATCTTGGTGCGGTCCGGCCCGTCGGCGGAAGGAGACTCGGTCGGCTGTGGGCCCATAAAAGTCTCGGCGTCTCGCGGTCGGCGGACCCGATGACTTCCAACCCCACCTGCAAGAGTCATTGCAGAATCCCGGACGTGTTCGATTTGCTTCGAAGTAATGTGTCATCGCGGATATGCCTGCGAGACTGTTGCTTTCCTCCGTACTGCACGCAGCATCCAACCAGGGAAGAGATATGATGGCACCGCCGTTGGGAACCGATCCTTGGCTCCCCAGATCTGTCAGGTCAGTTACCCCCGGGGTGGAAAGCGTCACAGGTCTCACGAGATTTCAGGCAGCAACGTCGAATCTGTACCGTTACTGAGACCCGGTGAGATAGCGGAGTCATGAGAGGGACCACCACCTTCTATACCGCTTGTAGCCTGAGTAGCCAGTGTGACCTTAAAATTCATGGCCCGGTCGTTCTTAGATGGCAAGGTGGTAAATGGCCCGTTAGTATGAAGACACTTTACAAAAGAGAAGCATTTGACTATCATTTCCTGATACTGTCAAAGAAAACACCTTAATCTGGGCACAGGGCCAGGCTTCCCATGGTTGCCCCGGTGAAACTTGATCACCCACTGATCGCAGCCTGACAAATCCCGCGCCGGCTGCCAGGTCGGCTCCGCGTACTCCCAGTCGACGAGATATTCCAGTCCCGTCCGCGGCGTCTTCCCGGCCCATCTCGAATCGAGTATGGCCCTGAATGCCCATCGTTCCTCGTTGGGTTTTTTGCTGTACTTCACGACGACGCGGCCTTGCTTCTCCGGCTCGGGCTGCGACACCTCCGCGATGAGGGTCGGGACGGTGGCATTGTTGTCTTCCCCTTCGTCGGGACGTAGTACCTGGGCCGCGTTAGTCCTTCTGATCCATGGGTCATAGAGCAAAGACCATTCAAACCAGGCCTCGGGGGTGAGGTCTTGATAAAGGGGAGACTCTACGGCGTCGATGGGTCCGTGGGAGACGAAAGGGGGCGGGGAGGGTGTGCTGAGGCGATTCCAGGACTCGTCGATGCTCGGGGCGTGGACCCAGGCGATGCAGAAGAGCCCGACGACGGCCACGAGGACCTTTGCTACGGATCGGGTGTCACAGAAGCCAAAATCCCAGCAGGCCCGGCTCTCGAAGTGGGAGTACAATTTGATGAGGCATACTACTAGGGCCCGGTCGGCGAAGTCCGCTCCTAATGCGGTGGGCTGCATCAGCAGCCCCTTTCGTTCGGACGGACTCGTGTTGAGTATCATCTCGTTCACGCTGTTAGTGATGCCGTCTTCGTCCAGCAGAGGACCGGGCTGTGCTTCAGCACGCTCCAGCTCGATGAGAAGGGTGCGGATCACGGCTCGGACAGGCGGAAAGCGCATGAACCTGTGCAGCTTGTTGATGCAGATATTGTATCTCTTAGCCAGCTTGGCCAGGTCAGTGTTGACTGCAACGGATGGCGTGTTGGAACCGGTAGGCGGGTTGACCAACTGAAATGTGTAATCTTTGGGCCATGCAATATTGAGACATCTCCTGGAGCTGTCCGCAAAGGCAATCTCAAGGAAAGCGTTGTTAACGAGTGGTTCATCGTAACGCCACCCCTGGCTGACGTGTTGTTCCTGCAGAGCCGAGTTCATGAGCCTTATAAGATGCCTATTTGTGCCGCCTACCTGTCCTGAAGCAGGCCTGGGCATATCGACCTCTGTGGCGCGCATGTTTTTGTAAGCAATATGCGTGCGCGCGGCGATTGTACAGAAGCTGAATCAAAGCAAGTGCGAGTTGAGAGTATGCCAAGAACGGAAGATGCGCCAAAGGCAAAAGAAATGTTGCCGAGCTAGTAGATGCGGACGCTTGCAGCATCCTCGCGCGATATATATATATACACATACACACACACACATATATATATATATATATAAATATACACACATATATATCGAGACGTGGCCTCAAAGGAGATTGATGACGGTCGCTTCCAGGCCAAGGCAAGACGTGAATAATACTCTCCTTTCATCATCGTCTCTCTGCATCCAAAGGCCGAACCAATACTGCGAATTGTGCCGCATATCGCGACTCAGTGACAATGAAAGCGTATCGTAACAATGCTTCAACAAAGACGTTGTCCATGAGGCCGAGCGGTGTTAAACTTGGACTTCCAAGCAAGCGCCCATCACTCGAATTCAATGGCACGGTTGACGTAGCCGTGTACAATTGACTGCCCGTAACAATGTCTTTGTTCCATGGAAGGATAAAGAGAGACAAGCAAGGTCTCGGGATGGAACTGTAGAACTTGCAGGATTTGACAATATGACGTGGATGGGACATGCATTCAGCTGCCTACAGGCAAGGAAGCACTCAAAAGAGTGAATGTGTGGCAAGACAAACAAAGGGTGGCCGAAGCTCGAAATAGGAATCACCATACCAGCAGAGATGCGACGTGGATGTTGGGGTCGAGGTGGCGGCGCCCCAGTTGCATCTCAAACATGGCACGCGGCATAGCTGTAATAGAGAGACTTAAGGATCTGGAGGTCGACGGCAGGTGACGGGCCGGCCAGTTGCTCACATGGGTGGGCTGCGCGCGGCAAGGTAGCCATCGATCGCTGCATAGTAGACGGGAAGAAAAATATCACCAAGGAGAAACGCTGGGATCGTTCTATGCAGTTCCAAGGACTGTTTGTATGGGACCTGGCCCTTTGAAAGTGGCAAGCAAGAAACAGAAAGCGTCCAATAGAGGGCGGTGCCCGAACCATCGCGTTGAGCTAGGCCTGTGATTGAAGAGGGTGGGCCAATGAGGTGGTGCTCAACTGGATGAAAGGTCGAGCAGCGATGGTACACATAGTATCAGGCCGCTGCCCTCATGATGCGTGGCCAGTGACATGGCGGTGTGTTGACAGGTGTGGCATGGACTACTAGTAGTGTACCGGCGGGAGGAAATCGTTTCCCGTATATCGAGCAAATCAGACTGACTGTTCATCGTTATGACCCGAAGCCGTGGGCGAGAGGTGGTCAAGGACCAAGGAAGAAATGTCCGTTGGAAGCGCATCCGACTCGTGCTACCCGCTGAAGGGATGGCTCAAAGGGACATGGGAAAAGCCTGTCAACGTTGACCGAGCTCTCTGAGCCGGGAGGTACACCCCTATAGACGAAACAGTCGAGCCGGAGACTTGGAACGGCAGGTTCCGAGTTGGAGTTTCCGCAAACATTTTGGCGACAAAGATTTGGAGACATGCAGATGGATGGGAGAAGGACAACATATGACGAGAGAATAGAATGAGAAGGGGGGGGGGGGGGGGGGGGAGAAGCCGTTGAAACCGAGGGCCGAGATGATGACGGGAAGCTGGTTGCGTCGATGCTCTCTGTCTGGATCTCGTTGCGTCGGCATTGCCGAGCAGCAACACGAGGTTGAGACGGACTCAGTCATTGGACTCTCGAACCGACCTGGGAGGGATACATGACAGCCAGCTCAACCATCTAGCAACGAGGACAGGACACGCTTTAGCACTCTTGCTAATGTATCTGGCGATCGATCCCATTCACCAACCGTGGATTGTGGAGACACTCACGATGCAGCGAGTCTAGGAAACGAGAGGCACACTGAATTAGGTAGGTAGTTGGCAAGTAGGTAGGTACCAACAGGAACGGAAGGCCTAGGAATGAGGTCACATAGTCAGGGTCAGGGTCCTCAAGGGGGATGACTTGCCCAGGTTGCCTTACAAGGGACATGACCCCCCTATGGTCCCCCACTCAGTACCCGGTCGCTACCTAGGTACCTAGGTAGGGTACACGAGTGACGAGGTGATGGCGTGCGTCGGTGAGAGAAAGTGTGTGATTGGGTCAAGCCCAACGGACCTGGGCCATCCCGGTCCAGCATGATAATTCCTACAGGGTGCAGCAACGTCTTCCGACCTGCCATGGTGGGGATTGCGACAATGGTTGACGCTTATCGATTGGTGCGCGTTATCTCGTTACGTTTTCTCTGTTTGGTCGGTCGACCGGTCGGTCGCATGTGGAAATGGAAGCAAGCTCCCGCAAGCGCCCTCTCGAACATGAACGTGAGCGACGAACCCGGTGTGGAACAACACCATCGACTTTGATGCTTACCTAAGGCACACAGAGTATCTGTATATGCCTAATACCTACTACTACTATGTACGTAGGTATGTACTCTCTCCCCAATTTTCTTAGACGGGACGAACGTGGGCTTTATTGTCTTCCTGCTTGGAGACAGAGACGGACAGGACAGAAGACAGACAGACATACACGTAGCGTATATAGATACGGATAGTTTGGGTGAGACGCGCTGTTTGCAGGACTGGATCTGAAGTCAGGCACACAGCCAGGGTTACTCCGAGTAGCATCGTACCCAGCATCGGTTCGTTGGAGCAAGGAAAGTACGAGATACGGCTGGCATGTGTTTGTCACCGGCGCCGTCCCTCGCCGCCATTGATGCCTTCCTGCCTACCTTGTTTGGTCGGGAATGTTCGTTCCTTTCTTCGTTGCCCACCCGCTGCTTCCATACCCATAGTGCATCCATTGGTACCTACCTACCTACCCCGTGGCCCCCGGTTTCTACCTATCGTACATAGTACGGATACATCGTACATATCCCCCATCCACTAATTACCCGGTCGCATCAGCTGCTTGTCGCATTCATGGCTGCTTCTGTGCCCAGCCATCACACACTCTCTCATCTCATCTCCACTCCCCTCACCCCCATCAATGACGTCCTTGGCTTCTTGCAAGACGGAACATGGGGACAGAGGCATCCGTACTGGACCACCAGCTTGGTGCCGCCTTTGGACAGGTCCATGGAAAGGAGCACACATGGCAGCCTTCCAACAACCCGAACACAGATGGACACAGACAAGCAGTAAATAAATTAAGAATAGTAAAGACCTGGACTTACACACAAAGTCTTCAGTACAAATCTCGATGCGCTGACGCGCCGTGTCCATCTGCCCCGCCGTGCCTTCCACGTTCCGTCCCATCCCATCCCATGCCTTCCTGCCGCATCACCTCTTTTTCACTCACCTCACAGTCTTGTGTGCCTTCCCGGTTCCCTGCGTCTGGTCTCTCCCATCTCTCCTCGTCCTTGTCTTCGCCCCCCCAATCAAAGTCTTGTGCCTTGCCTTGCAGATATCTCACCTCGCCTTAACCTCTCCAACCTCCCTTTCCCTATCTACCTACTTACCTATCTGCCTACCTGCCTTACCACCCGCCCATCCTCGCTCCGGCTACCTCGTCATACTCGGGTTGTCCATCGCAAGACAAGAGTGGCCTAGACCACCAACATCAACGACGACCCTTCGCACCGCCGCCGAATTCGCCGCCCGACCCTTACCCAATCAATCTTCCTCGACCTCGCATCACCCTGGCCGTCTATCTACTCTTTCCAAGACCGTCCGAACACACACACACACGCTGCATTTTCTCTGTCATCCCCCAACCTACCTACATACCTACGTCGCTCGCCGCCATCGACGTCTGTCTTGGCCACCTGGCTGCACCATCAAAGTTGCGCCTAAGAAAACGACCCTCCGGCCTGGCGACGTCACCCAACTCACCCCAAGTTGCACAACCCAGAGCCCTCTCACCATCGCCAATCGCTCTCTTACACTCCTGGACACCATCCGCACCTCGTCCGAGCCCTACTTCGTCCGCACCCTTCGGTCTCATCGCGTCGCATCGCACTGCATCGCATCACGGCGCAAACCGCCTTCTCTGATGAATCGTATTCGCACACCCGCGTGCTGCCGGTAACTGGACGCGCCTTGATACAGCTACACGCTTTTCTTTCCACCCTTCCGTGGATCCTATTGCTACGCTGCTCATCGCCATCGAACTTTCTTCGACAACGCTGCACCCCTCTCCCGCCCGAAACCCCTCTCCGTCATTTTCTCTGGCCATCGTTGCCCCGCCTCCATTCTGTCGGTTCTTGTTTTCTCATTTCCACCCCACTCCTTGCAGGAAATCGCCGGTCGACGGCTCGTCTGACTTTGACATTACCGCCGAAACTACCTCCTGCCCACACCTTCAGCTGGCTCGGCACAACGTATCCCAAGACACAAAGGCCGGGTTTCACTCGGTGGACTGGACCCGACAGATTGACGCGCGCACAGCTGCCTTCAGTGTCTACGCTGTAATCCGGTACCTCGAGCTTGGCGCTGGACTGGACACTACAAACGAAATATCACCAATCCAAGGCTGTCAGCCGTCGCACTCTGCTGACCTCGATCTGCTCTGTCTAGACCCCGGGGCACGACTTTGCTCCCCCAACTGGTCCCCCACACTTCCCGACCTGGAGACAACACATGATCGATTCCACTTTACGCATTCCACAGTTCACGATGAACGGCAGTCAGCAAGCCCAAGAGACCGCTGCGCAACAGCCTCTGCAGCCGCCAGCCGCCAGTGCCAATGCCAATGCCAATGTCGATTCCTCCAACGCCAGCGCCAGCGCCAACGGTAACTCCTCGACGACAGTCAAGAAGCGCAAGAAGGATGGCCTGAAGCCCATCATTACGACCGAGACACCTCCGTAAGTTTGATCCACAGAGTGGTTTCTTACCTGTTCTCCCGCGTTTCCATATTTCTTTTGCGTTGCATTGTTTGTGTTTTGGTATCGTTTTTTTCTTTCGGTTCATCCCCTAGGCGGGGGGAACAGGCAAACGGTTGGTTTTCGTTACCCTCAGTATTGTTCCCATCAGGCGCCCCCAGGTTTCATTTACACAGGTCATTGTTCTCCTTCCACTCCCTCCACTGTTCGCATCATTACCCCTCCATCCTGTTTAAAAGCGCCGCGCCCGATGCCGCACGTCCTTCCCTGCGCTCGTGGCGGGGCGCAACATGGGGGACAGCGATGGGTTCCCCCCATCCAACCAAACCAGACCACTTTAGACTTGTCAAGTCCGGCAAGCCCAGTCCCAGTCCGAATTGGCACTGCAGAAGTGGAAGCAGAGGCCAGTCAGTGCCCAACACCGCGCCGCGCAGCTTGTCTCACTCCCGGCCATTTGCGAGCTTGCACAGAGAGGGTCCGCGTTCGAAGACTCTGCGCCACGGCAGCAATGAGGGAGAAACTGGAAGACCGTGGTGACACGAAGAGACGACAGAAGGTGAAGACCCGGTTGGGGATGCAGCGGGACTCATACCCGATGGGGGCCTCTGTCGCTCGAAATAATGGGTATCGGGTGCACCATGGTCGTTGCATGGGGAACCCATTGGCCAAAGATCAACGTTTGCTTGGCCGGCAAAACACTGGACCAGAGGTCGAGGGGCCGCTCCTCCACAATATTCACGGGCTGCCAGCTGTCGCCATCTCCAACAGCGGCAAGCAGCAAGCAGTGGCCGCGCCTCGGCGGCGAATGCAGCTTCGTACTTGCTAGGCGGGCGATGCGCAGCATGTACACTAGAGGCGCACAGTTTCGACATGCCATATGCTGCACCCCGCCTGTGCGACGGCGGAATTCTCTTAGCAGGGCGTGGAAGAGGAGGAGAGATCGCCGAGAGAAACCTGATGCAAGGCGTGAGGCTTGGAAAGCGGCATGCATGTTGCTCACGCTGACCGAGGGGTGCCGCGAAGCGCCTACGTCCTGGACACCTCTCACTGGAACCGGACTGAACTGAAGTCAATTTTCTCAGTACCAGCGTTTCCTTATTACTGCACGGTGGTGTCCAAGATATTTGCGGGACGCATACACCGATATCTCGAAATGCGTCTTGCAAGTACAAGTCGCTGACGCAAAGGGGTGATTCGCCCTTGCTTCCTTCCTCTACCGGGCATTCAGTTAGTCAAGTGTCCCGCTGACCCTGTCCTGACGGAACCCTGGACTGGACTGGCTCCAAGTGGCCCAGGCCTGTACTTTTATTTTGCTTTATTGTTTCTGCGTCACTTGCCGACCCTCATTCCCGTCCTTGTACTTGTTCTCACTCATTCCCTCAACCACCACCACCACCACCACCACCACCACCACCACCCACTCACGGACGCTGCTGACCCCTCCCTTCTCTTGTTACCTGTTTTTTTTTTTTTTTTTTCCTTCCCCCCTCTCTCCCTCCTCGTTACCCTATTACCGACCTAGACCTTATCCAGCTCAGGGCCCTGTTCTACGCTACCTTACGGTCTTGTCCATACCTCGAGCTGCCTGCGCACGCGCACCCTACCTTTTTTCTACCTTACCTTGATCCCTTGACCCGCCGTTCTCTGCCTTTTTACCTGGCTGAACTGTTCCCGCGCCTTACCTCACCTTTAACCTCCTTCCTCCTTCCCCTCAAATCTTTGCCCACCCCAGTCGGCCACAACTGGACTTGCCGCTGTCACTTCAGTGACTTTCCCATGTTGTGAGCGGCACCAGTTTCGTACTGGATTCCCGCCCATTCTTTTTTTTTTCTTCCGTTTTTTTTTGTTGCTATTCTCGCTTCATTCTTGCCGTTTTGGTCTTATCGTCGCTCGGCCTCCCGCTCTTCTATCCTCTTGATTTCCTTCTATAGGATTGTTCGCGCTGGATGCGCAATGTTGCAAATATGAGCTTCCTCAAGACAAGGTTCCTACTCTTCCTTTCCCCCTTTGACTCGTCGCATTTCATGGTTCGTTTTCGCGCTGCGAAATCTTCGCCCGCCATTTTGCCATTCTCCCACCCCGCCATTTTCATCATGCACTTGGGATCGCCTTTTGCTCACCTTGCGCTTCTGCGATTTAACTTTGACTCGCCTCCGTACCCGGGGAAACATGAGCTAACGGCTTTTTCTTCCTCGACAGAACCCACCAGCTGTCTGCTGCAATGCAGAACTCGCCGACGTCAACATCGTCGGGTGAAGACCCCGCCGATAACACGGCCGACGAGGAAGATTCTGAGGATTACTGCAAAGGCGGCTACCACCCCGTCCAGATTGGCGAAAAGTTCAAGGACGGCAAATACACAGTCGTGCGCAAGCTTGGATGGGGTCACTTCTCGACCGTCTGGCTCTCTAGAGACAATACGTCGGGCAAGCACGTCGCCTTGAAGGTCGTCCGCTCCGCCGCGCACTACACCGAGACCGCCATTGACGAAATCAAACTGCTCAACAAGATCGTCCAGGCCAAGCCTGACCACCCTGGCCGCAAGCACGTCGTCAGCCTGCTCGACTCCTTCGAACACAAGGGCCCTAATGGCACGCATGTCTGTATGGTCTTTGAGGTTTTGGGCGAGAACTTGCTGGGCCTGATTAAGAAATGGAACCACCGAGGCATCCCCATGCCCTTGGTCAAGCAAATCACTAAGCAGGTGCTGCTCGGCCTCGACTACCTACACCGTGAATGCGGTATCATCCACACCGATTTAAAGCCCGAAAACGTCCTTATTGAGATTGGCGACGTTGAACAGATTGTCAAGAAGGTGGTCAAGAGCGAGCCTGGCGACAAGGAAAACAACAGAAACGGTCGCAGAAGGAGACGCACCCTCATCACCGGCAGCCAGCCGTTGCCGTCTCCCTTGAATGCTAGTTTCAACCACAACAACCTTTTTCCAACTACCAATTCGAGCCTCAGCCAAGTGCTGCACGAAGGTATCCGATCCTCCCCACCATCATCACTGCGCCACATATACCCCCGCGGACCGCGTCACCCCCGCCCCCTGGCCATGCCACTACCTTGATCCGAATTGAAAATATTGATTGATGGTGCTTGAACACAAGCTGACATTATACCTCTGCAGGCGGAAAATCATCAAGTGACGCCTCCCCCAAGCGCGATGCTGATCAGAAGACGCGCGAAAAGACAGCGTGAGTATTACCCCACTTTGACGAAATAAGTGGGCGACGTTATGTGACACTGACCGCTTTTTGTGCAGCGATCTACTCACGAAAGAAGTTTCGGGCATCTCCCTCGACAAGACGAACAACTCGCCTTCCTCTGGGGAAAAGCGTAAAGCGGAGGACGCGCATGCATTTGACGTTATCAGCGTCAAGATTGCCGACTTGGGCAACGCCTGCTGGGTCAACCACCACTTTACCAATGATATCCAGACCCGGCAGTATCGCTCACCCGAGGTTATATTGGGTGCGAAATGGGGCGCAAGTACTGACGTGTGGAGCATGGCCGCAATGGTAAGACTACAAGAAGTAACACAATGAGCGCAATGCTAATCGCCATGCCTCAACCAGGTGTTTGAACTGATTACGGGCGACTACCTGTTTGATCCACAATCCGGAACCAAGTACGGCAAGGACGACGACCATATTGCGCAGATTATTGAACTCCTCGGACCCTTCCCCAAATCGCTTTGCCTGTCAGGCAAGTGGTCTCAAGAAATTTTCAACCGCAAAGGCGAGCTGCGTAACATTCACCGTCTGCGTCACTGGGCTTTGCCAGATGTACTCCGCGAAAAGTATCACTTCAAGGAGGATGAGGCAAAACGCATCGCTGATTTCTTGACCCCCATGCTTGAACTCGTGCCCGACAAGCGTGCCAATGCAGGAGGCATGGCGGGACACGTGTGGCTAGACGACACACTCGGCATGAAGGGTGTTCGAATCAACGGGCTTGAAGTCGGCAGCCGGGGCGAGGGCATCGATGGCTGGGCTACAGAGGTGCGGAAACGGTAGGGGAAGGTAACAAAGGCCGCTTTTGATAGAGGGGGCCACCAAGATATCACCATAATTTTATATGAACGATCACCGGCCCCCTCATTCCCCTTGGTCATTGTTTTACATTATTTGCCTCTAGCATCATCACATCTGATTTGGATTGAGTAATTTGGCACTACACGCACCCAACATGGTGCATGGAGTTTTGCTCTTTAACAGTATCAAAAGACACGTACATACACTAGGATCACCAACACTATTACTACTACTACTACTACTACTATACAGTCATGGCTGAAAGCGCCGGATATGGGGACTATGGGGATGATAGCGAATACAAAACACGGCCCACAAAGGGACTGATAAGTTTAACCGACGTGTTGTGGTCATAGAAGCGACTGATAACGCTGCAGCCGTACGCCAGGGAAGGGAAGGGGATGTGCCGGCAAGAGCCTATCCAGCATGGCTCAGTTTTGGGTACTAGTGAGAATCAAATGAACCGGGTCATCAGGCCAAGTCAAAGTAAATTGTCGGTTAGTGTGAGAGATTTCGAAAAACAAGACGGCGCAAGTACCACCTGTCGATACAGAAAGATGGAAAAGAAAAAAGAAAAAAAGAATCGGCTACAAAGCAGAGAACAGTACTTGTTAGAAGGGGCTTTGAGTCCGTTCATGGCCGGAGAGAGAGCTCATCGTCATCGTGCCTTGGTACCGGTTTTGCTCCGTTGCAGCGTCAGCTTGCTTCGGCGAAGACGTGGCCGTCAACCTCTATACGAGAGATGCAGCGAGGCCAGGCTCATCTTCTGCCTGGTGTCGACCTGTGTCAGGTTTCAGAAATACTTCTGTCCAACTCGCAATAGGATATCCACATCCATACTGACACACACACACACACACAAACGTCACATTGCGGAGCTTGTTGGGTGGCACTATGGAAGCGTAAGTCCCTCACAAGGTCATTTGAGGGGGAGGTAGGGGCTGATATGCCATCTAGACAAACACGAGAAAAAGTCTTATGCCCGTCATTGTAGAGCTTCACTGCTCGAAATTCGCATGAAAATAATAGCATTCTTCCTTGATCCATTGAATCCATTTGCCACCTTAGTCTACGACGACCCGGAACGCCTTTCTTTATGTGCTCGAATAATACAAGTGCCGAGCCTCTTCCTTCGTAAAGCTCGTTTGGCCGGATGAGAAACAGGTGAGCCAGGCTCGCCACGCAGCTGTCTCCTGTTGCGAAGCTATGGGAGGGCGAAATCCCTCCGTGTGACAACTCACTTACCGCTTCTTGCGGTTCTGCGTCATCTTGCGGAATGCTTCCAGGCCACCGGCACCGATGGGGCGGTGCTCCGGGGCCCGCGAAACGTCGTACGTACTCTTGGGCGCAATCGTGTAGCTGTCAGGGAGACCACCGGGACGAGCACGGTTCGAGGTGACGACGGGCGCCAGCATGGCCTCACGCTCCAGCTCCCTGGCAGACTGGGAAGGCCGCTGGGTAAGGGTAAACTGGGAGCTGCCAGCCTGGCGCTGCGACATCTTCAGAGCCCTGTTGACATAAAAGAGTTAGCAACGGGATAAACTGGCCATGAGGCGAGTGTGAAGGGATGGACGTGGGACGTACTCATAGTCGATTTCGCGCGTCTCAACGTGGCGCTTCTTGTAGTCGTCTGTCCGTTTGAGGATAGGTCGGCTCCAATCGCCAAGGAGGCGCTCGGCCATGCGCTTGATGCTAGGTTCGGGCCTCTTCGAGCGGGTGTAGAAGTAAACAACTTTGCCGATGCCACTGCTTAGAAGCGCCTCCTTCTCGATGGGGAGCCGGATGAGCGCACTGAAAATGTCGCGTTGGATGTTGTATGCGGGCAAACTGCCGTCATTCAGGGGTTCGAGGAAGAACTTGACGTGCTGCAAAAAGTTGGTGTCGGGGTCGAGAATGGCGTGCTGGATGTTGTTCCGGTTCAGCAGACCGGTCACCGAAGGCAGGAGCTTCAACTTGTGAACGGCTGGTTGACCGGCCTCGCGTGCGCTGTTGTCTGCCTCACAAGCCTTTTCCATGGCGACCTTCAGGTCTGCGATCTGCTCATCGATCTCGTCCTCCAGATCCTACGTCGGGAATGTCAGTAACTAGACCTAAAGCCCAAGCGTCGCAGAGCCAACCCACAATTTCGTCCTTCTTCTTCTTCCGCTTCGCAGGCCCCTTCATGGCAGCATCCAGCGCCCGGTCGATCGCGCGCCGCCTACGCTCCTCTGGCGTAAGATGGGACTCGTCGTCAACCTCGGGCTCAGCAGCCCTAGGCCGGGGCTTCCTCTCGCCATCGGCCTGGCGTCTCGACTTGCGAGCAGGTCGCCCGGCATCACCATCCGCCTCACCAGAAACCTCATCGTCGCGTGTCCGTTTCTTCTCCCTGCGTCCCTCCTTCGGTTTCTTCGCTTTCGCGCCATCTGCCACCTTTCGCTTAGACGCCTTGAGAGTCTTGGCCACATCTTCGTCAACAGCTACTGGTCGGTCTTCGATGTTGGCTGTCTCTGGGTCGTAGTCTTCGAATTGGTCCTCGTCCATTTCCGACAACTGGTCGTCGTCGGAAAGCTCGTTGGCAGTCGCGCCCCCAGCGCCTTCGCGAGGTTCTTCATTATCGGCATGATCGTCGCGATCGGGCAGAGGGGATTCGGGGAGAGATTCGATGTCCGACATGATTGCAAAAGGAGCCGAGGAGTCGCGCTGTGAGATGCAAGGCTCGGCTTTTGCAATGATTGATTGGTGTGGAGATTAGAAAGCCTGTGATGGTTGCAGGTCTCTTTGCCTGGTTGTCGTTCCTTCGATTTTCCCAGATGGTCCAAGCTTTAGGTAAAGGGACTCGCTTCTGTATCCGTATCCGTATTGCCTATCGATAAAGATAAGATATCGTACACCCACACAGGACTCCACTCCACTGGACCAAAGGGAGGTTCCGTTGCCTCAGGCACGGTTTGTTTACTTTGGTTTCTGTGAGTGTACGTTTTACTCCTTGACAGCCAGCTACTAGAATATTTTGACCCTTGGCAGCCACCATCCCGGACGGATCGCGACAAGAGCTGTTGCGCACCTCGCCCACAGCATCCACCTTGCTTTGTGCACTCACACGCCATTGCTTGCTAACGAAGCCTCACGATGGATCGCAGAACATATGAAAGCCCTATGGAATGGGAATACCAGGATCACGGACCTCTGGATGCGACCAGCCCGTTTGCACAGGTTGCAAAGACCAACACCCAGAACAGTGAGTCGCAGCTCGGTCGCAAGAAGCACCTTATTCTGTGCGATTGCTTCGCCATTTAAATGCACTTCGTATCTGACACTGTCCTATCTTTACTCTTTCTGCAGGCTTCAGCTCACCGAACAAATTCGCAAGCTCCAAGCCGAACCCTTTCTTGAGCCCCTCCAAGCCGAACCTCTTCGCGGGTACCCCCTCCAGGATACTTCCATCTCTGCCGCAGGCATCGCTTTTCTCCCCCAGAGTACAGAGAAATAACATGGCGCCGCCGTTCCGAAACCCGGCCTTCACCACCCCGCGCAAACCCTTCGACGAGAGTACCTATTCGGAGGCTTCGGGCGCAGAATCGAGCCCCGCCTTGACAGAAAATTCGGAGCTTCCAGACGATACTCCCGACGTCGACAGATACGGAGACACGAGCATGGCCACCATGACACCTTCCAAGGTCGACAAAAGCTTCCGCTATGGCAAGGCAAGCCAGTCATCGAAGCGCCACGCGCCAGGCAAGGGCGAGATCCCCAGAAGTGCACGAGAATACCCCGCTATAAGGAAGCGGAAGCGACACAACCTCGACAAGGATGTAGGAAGCGTACGCTATCATGGCGCACAGGACTGGGATGACTCGGATGACGACTCGGATGGTGACGGATCCCGCTCGGCGGCTCGCGGCGGCAAAGGCAGCAAGAAGAATATGAAGAACGGTCGTGGCTGGATCAGCAACCTGTTCCATGCTCTGGAGGAACACCCGAATGCCCCCGAGAACCTCTATCGCTGGATCCAGCTTTTGGTCAACTGCATAATTGTGTCAGCATTTGTCTTCTTCTGTTGGTCTATTCTGGATACCGTTCGGTCGGATATTCGAACTGCCAACGACGCAGCTCGTCTGGAAATCGAGAATAGGATGTCTGAATGCCGGACCGAATACCAGCTCAACGAATGCGCCAAGAAGGATCGGCCTGCGTTGAAGGCAATGTGCGACGAATGGTACGAGTGCATGATTCAAGATCCTTCGGCCATCATGAGGGTTCGGGTCACTGTCAAGCAAATCGCGGAAATCCTTAACGAATTCGCCGGCGCCATGCAGGTCAAGGCCTGGGTAAGCACTGACCTCCCTCCTGTCGTCCGCTGTCTTGCCTTCTGACGTTACCACAAAGGTATTCTTCTTCGGCATCCTTTTCCTGTGTATCGTCGCCAATAACCTTACGTTGGGTCGTATGGCAAACAATGCTGGCCCCAGCCACCCAGTGCCAGCGCACCGCGCGACGTCTGGAGCTGCTCCGGAGCCATCGGTGATCCCTGAGCCTTCACAGGCATACATGTGGGTTCCTATTCAAACACCTTCACATCGCCGCCACATCCAGTATGACAACGATGATACCGACACCGACGCATCGCCGCCAAAGATGAAGTCGATTATGCCGCCGCGGACTCCTTCTGGACGTCGTAGTCCAAGCAAGGGTGACCGGGATCGATTGCGCAGTCCGACCAAGTATGCAGGGCTCAGTCCCACCAAGGGTTATTGAGAGTGAACGGAGAGTTTACCCCAATCTTTATCGAAACTTCAAGGCAGGAACCGAAAATCAGAAAGTAATACAATGCATAGGATAGGAGTTGTAAGGTTTGGTTGTATAATACACGTGCCCAGGGACCAGGTCTGGGGCAGATGCGGCGTCATCTGATGGCTTGAGGCGACTCGGGGCCGGCTTTCGCAGTTTTCTTTTTTTGTTTTTTTATTATTCTTTTTCTTTCTCATCTTTATGGACAGGATAGGAAGCAAGGTATCGACAGCTAGCTACTGGGCCTAGCGGACGGAAGTGCATACCTCTCGTACCTGTCGAGAGCTTAAACCCTTCCCTAAATATTCATTTGTCAAATGCTCATGGCTCCATCTCATCTCACATGACGTGCTGTTGGCCCGTCACAACCCAATTCGCTTTCCGATGGGTCCTCCGATCAGAGCTCGGATCATTGAGCTTAGTCATACACGGTCTAGATCATGTTTGTTTTTGGATTGACCGGCCGGCCATGACGTCAAGCTGGAGGAGAGTTTGGGTCTGTGAACTGCGACCCCCGCCTCTTATAGGACTTAGCTGCACAAGATGTTCCTGAATCGCGCAACGCAACAGACAACCCACGGCTCTACCCAGCAATGGAAGATCAATCAGCGTGATCCATTCTAAAATAATATTGATAATAATATTAACAAAATAGAATAAAAAAGTAGTGTGAGTTCAAGGCTGATAGCTGAAAGCCTCGGGAGCTTCTCGATGCCTCCTGTCGACTTGATTGTCGAGACATGGTTGCCTACCGGCTGCTAGCACGGACGGAGTAGGTTCCGCCGCCGCCGCCGCCGCCGCCATAACACTAGGTACTCTCCATTAGCCGTCTTTGTTGGGCGGTACGCTACCCTGAGGATCAGTCAGGTCTTGGACCCTAAATGCAGCCCTGCATCTAACCAGCAAGTCACTGCCGCAGGAATGTGTTCTTAAGGGAAAAGCATGCAACCACTACGCAAACGGGGAATCAGACGCTGTAGGGGACTACCTATGTAGCGAATGCATGCTTTAAGACGATGCTGTGAGATTGCAAGGGTGTTCTTTAGATCATTGCGCCCCTGGGCGGGCATGGAAGTGCACACTGTGGGGTTCCTGAGGCACAGATATCTTGAAGCAACCCCCCTTCGCTCCAGCCTGAGCAAAACTTTGCAAGCCAGCTAGTCTCTAATTGTTTCCAACCAGCTCGCGGGAGTGGGATAGAAGTCTTAGCTTGTGTGTCCTGGATGGCGGGGCGTCAAACCTAATTCCTCTCTCGTCGCACACTCGGGAAAATCGCAATGACATCCCAGAACGGCTCATCGCATAAGTGACTCCTCAGGTACCTCTGCCTTAGTGGGTTGATGAGCAAGGAAATCCCTGCAAAGTGAGGGTCATCAGCCAGGTTTTCACAACCCGCATTATGCCCGGTGCTGTAGCGAAATGCTGCTTACAAAACCACGAGAGAGGGGCTCGCGGAGGAAAACTTCCAGCAGGAAGGTTGGGCGAGCGGGTATGGCGGACAGAAGCCTCCATCGCAATGCGATGGCCTCTCCGTGCTTTGGTCGTCTTGGTGTCTTGCCAGGTACCCAGGACTCCGATGCTAGCACGATGAGACGATCTGGTAATGCGGTTTGTGTGAACAATGCACACCGTCTCCCAAGCCAAGGCTTAACAGTCGGGCTCAGGCGGCCTAGTTGCAATAAAGCAGAGCGTGGCACGATGGGTTAGATATTGGCGTTACTTCGCGATACCAGGGTTGGGGTACGGATGCTGAACTTGGTGAAGAAGAACTGAGGACTCACTGGCGTCCTCCGCGTGGATAGAGGAAACCCAATAGTAGAACGTATAAATAGATATGTCTGCATGTATATATGTATCTATGTATATATGTACAGTACGTAGTAGTGTGCAATAAGGTGGCATCATGTCTTGCGTGCAGAAACGACCCCTTTCCCAGCGCTTAGTTGGGCACTATCAGGGACGAGACGATGGACACATCCCAGAGAGCAGGCAATAATTATCATCGAGTATTCGGGCAATTGTGTCGGTCATGCTTCGACCTATTATGTCCCGTCAGCTAAGTTGGTTATTTACAGGGTGTGGATATATGCACTACTGGAAGTGATGAGCTTTTCGCCTTCGTAGCGATGACTGGTGTCCGTCCAACTGGTACCTGCTTCATGAGAAGTGAGAAGACCATTCCTGACATCCATGGTATCAACCGAGACGGTGGGATGGGTGTGTACTACCAAGGGGCGTAGTACCAGATAGAGCGAGCGAGCGACCAAGCGCCGGCACGAAAGCTTCAGCTCCTCATTACCCATTCCCACCCTCCAACCCCCCATCCCTTCAGCTCACGTATACCATATGCAAAGCGCATCTTTGCCTTCAAAATTCAATCATGCGATTTCCGATTGTGTCTACAATATTAAACTCCAAGAGAACGTGAGAAGACTCAAATAAGCAACACGACGGTGAGGCCTTCCCGGACGTTCGTCGCGCCTCGCCCAAGTACCTAGGTATTGTGCTATCCTGCCTTGGTACCTATCCGCCTACCTAGGTAGGTAGGTACCTTGCGCAAGAAGGAAAGGGGGGGGAAAAAACAAGTTTCACCTCCACCTCCATCACAGAGCTAAGCCTGGCGCAGCTCAAAGCTCTCGAATCTGGGGAAGGAGCTGCCCTGCTACCTACCTCACCTGCCGTTGCTGTTCACTGCGTCTGTATCGCACCTTGTCTTTTGTGCGTCTGTGCTTCATCTCCTTCCCCCGTCTATGTACACGTACCTATCCTTGAGTACTGGGGCCTGGCCGCAGCACCATCATCCCTTCCCTTCCCACCATTCCCACTACTTTCCCTTCATCACGAGCTACCTTTTCCGCCCGTCCTCCGTTGTCTTATCATTTCCCCCCCCTCTCTTCAACCCGCGTTTTTGCGCCAGTCCTCGCTTTGGAGTTACATCTCGCAGTCTGCCACACGCTCTCCTTACACAGAGCCTGCGCACCTCACAAACCCTCACCCCGGGGTTATGCAAATATTGGTTTGCAGGGTTTATACACTCGGCGCATGCTTCGATAGGCAAGGTACCAAGGGGAAAGAGGGGCAGTAACTGCTCAATCTGCTACCTCTTGTCTCTTTCGCCCTCGCTCCCTCGCTGCGGCAGCGAGAACACTGGAACGTTGGCGACGAAGAGCCGCGACCAATTCTCCTGTTTTGCGACCCACGCTTACCTAGGCATCCTGCCTTCTCCATCCTCAACTCTGAATCTTTGGCCTTTCTGGCGCGTACATTCCAGTCGACCCTGGACCTATTGCCAATCATCTTACCGCCCGAGACTGCTGCGCGGTGCTGCCAAAACACCTTCCTCGGATCGGAGCTTGATATTCACGTTTCAGATCGATGCCTACTAGTGCCCGCCTTTAAACGGCCTCATTATGTCAATTCGCAAACAAAACTTTGAAAGTCGAGTTTGCTTGGTAGACTCGGATCGAGGCTACGATCAGTCAACCTGAAGCGCGCAAGCACCGCCGATATGGAGGAGGCACCCGGCAACGAACAGCAGGCTCAGCCCAGCGCCGGCTCTGCCTCCTCCGCGGGGGCATCTGCCACATCTGCCCCTGCGCCTGCACCGTTGGCCAGTGCCGCTCCCACGCCATCTGCATCTGGCAGCTCTGGCGCCGGGCAGTTATCCAAGAGAAGGAGGGGTTTGGGCGTCGTCACTCCCAACGCTTGCACCGAGTGTCGCAAGAAGCGCGCAAAGGTATGCTGGCCCTTGCTAGAAACTTGTCGTCTCTTGGAAACCACGTACTGATACTCTCGCCTTTAGTGCGATGGCCAGAAGCCATGCGGCCGTTGCAAGGCCCAGAAGGACGTAGAGTGCGTTTACGAGGTACCAGTTCGTCAATCAAAGGAGCACCTTCGAAGCGAAATCGAGCAACTACGCTACCGTCAGCGATCCAGCGACCAGGTAATCGCTGCCTTGGTGCGCTCCGATATGTGGGAGGATGTGTTGCAACGGTTGCGAAGCGGCCAATCCCTAGAATCGGTCTCGGAATGGCTAGGTGGCACGCTTCCCTCGGGCGGCGGGTCTAGAACATCTCTCAACCGCCCTCCCGAGCAAGCTGGCGATGCAAACATGGGCTCAGGTGCCCGCCCAGGATTCCCAGGATCGACACCAGCGCCAATCAGAACGAGAAACCTCGGAGGGCCTGGGTCTGTGACCATGAGTCCTATCACGGGGCAATCTAACTTGCGTCAAGACATTGATTCCAACAGCCCGTGGCACCTTTCATCGCACAGCCAAAGCACCAGGAGCAATTCGCATCCCGATGTGATGAATTGGAGTACTGATACCAATAAGCCGCCCCAAGGTCTGTTCGACACATGGGGAGAGTCAACAAGTAACACGGAGACTTCAGAAGGCGGTTCCAAGTACCAGGGCCTCGACCAGGTCCTCGCACCGCTTGAGCCGCCCTACATGAAACTCCCTCCCGAAGACTGGACAAACATCACCGATGACGGCTCTCTTGTGCAGCACCTCCTTGCCTTATATTTCTGCTGGGAGTATCCGACGTTTGCATCACTGAGCAAGGAACACTTTCTTCGGGATTTTCAGAACGGTGTTCACCGTTATTGCTCACCTATACTTGTTAATGCTCTCTTAGCTTTGGGCTGCCGCTTTTCCAGCAAATCCAGTACGAGAGCGAACCCCAGCGACCCGTACACCTCGGGAGACCATTTTTTCAAAGAAGCCCAGCGCCTGTTTTACCTCGAAGAAAACCACCATAATCTGACAACCATCCAAGCTTTGGGGATCATGTCGATAAGAGAAGCAAGCTGCGGTCGAGATTCCGAGAGTTGGTACTATGCAGGGCAGAGCATTCGTTTGGCTATCGAGATGGGCCTCCACCAGTTAGAAGAGGATGGCGACGATGACGAGTTTGCAGTGCAGGCTGCCACTTTCTGGGGTGCCTTTGCACTTGATCAGTGAGTGTCTTCATGCAACAGACTTCGAAGGTTGGCCCTCGAGCTAACATAGCTGACTCATTCTTTAGTGCGTGGTCTTTGGCAACTGGCTCACTCCCCCAGTGCTCCTGTTTCCCTCACCTGCCGCCAAAGCCCGCTATCATCGATGACATTGAGGCGTCTTTGTGGATCCCGTACACGGACGACGGTAAGTTTTTTCTCGACATGGAAATCACGCGAAGCATGCCGGACACACAAGACTCAACAAACTCGTTAGGCGCCCCGTTACAGCGTTCAGCTGAACAGCCGTCCAACGTCCGGTCTGTGTATAAGTGCTTCTGTGAACTGAGTGAGCTTGTGCACCAAAGTCTCTACGTCCTCCACTCTCCAGGAAGACCGTTGACCAGCCGTGATTTACTTGGCATATACACCCAATATCTCAACTGGTATGACAGAATACCAGAGGTACTGAGACTAGGGCACAACTTTACACCCGCTGTGCTCTTTGCCCAGTGAGTTCATCGCCAGAGATGCAACGGAACTACTACTGACGGAAAATGCGTTAGCATGTACTATCACTTTGCCATCCTCCTTCTCTTCCGGCCGCTCATCAAGCTGAGAATTATTGGTTCCAAGCTGCTGCCCCGGGATGTGTGTGGACAGGCGGCAGATGCCATCCAAGGACTCCTGCGGTCATACTCTCAGCTCTACACGCTCCGCCGGACGCCGTCGTTTGTCCCGTATTTCGTCCTTACATCATCCATCATGCATCTAGCCATTGGTGCGGCCTGTGCGCCGCCGCAAAAGGGGTTCGATGCAACAGCGCCAGCCAGCGTCGACCCTGCGGCTCAACCACCATATCCACCTCGTGTCGTGGAGGCGATCAAGCAAGGCATCCGGGACCTGGAGGAGATGGCACCGTGCCATCATTTTGCAGAACAGGCACTCAATATTCTTCGATATCTAGCCAAAAAGTGGAACTTGGACGTCGATATGGGCGAAAGGCTCCCATCAGATGCCGAATACGCGCACCTGGTCAGGCCATATACAAGCAGTCTCAATTTTTTCGCTCCAAATGTCATCGAGGACGACTTCATCTGCACTTGGGGCGGCAGCACCGACGAGGCCGAGACGCCGAACCCGGCAACGACAATGGGCACCAAGGGAATTGAACCCGGAAAGCCATCAGTCTCGCGGGCAGCCAAGGTCCTGGAGAACCCTCTGTTCTGGCCGTTCCCAATGCAGGGGCGTCCGATGCTCCCTACAGGACGCGAGCTTAAGGATGCTGGATTTGAGAGGATCTAGGAGCTGCAGATGACGTGCAAAGTGGTCAAAAGAGCAGGCGAGAAAGGCCGTTCGTGCCGAAAAAGATATAAGACACATGTTGTGGTAAATTCCTCTCTGTAATAGTGGATGGCTCGTGCTGCCTGCACAGGAGTTTGGCCTTGGGCAAGGCTTTGTGTTTTTTGATACCCTACCCCTTTTCTGTAGAGACGCGGCCGGCCTCTTGCACTCTAGAGCCGACGGTCTCGCTGTCCCATAACATTGTTGTGGCCATCTAGGCCATCAGCAGGCAGGTACGAGATGAGAGGATAAAAGGAAGCAAAAGTAACAAGCTTAATGCGGATTTGAGCATATCAATGGAAAGCAAATCCCAACTGTTGGCTGGGAAGGCCCTTGCGTTTGTGGGCACTGCCAGCAATCTCCCACATTTTATCCAGAATACCTACCTACGCAACAAACGAAGAGCTTCGGTTTCTCTTTGGAGATTGAACAGAGAAGTCTGCCTGGCACAAAAAAGAAAAGGCTTATAAACCCCCGCCCCCCCCCCCCCCTCCTCCCAAAAAAAAACCCCTAGAATAAATCCCCTGTCTACCTTGGTAACCAAAGGAAGGAAAGTCCAGCGGGCAGGGATCAACCACATCAAGGTATGCAACATAATCTTATTGGTTCAATGCACTGAGCGCTGTGTGATGACGGCACTTTCCCATCTCATGCCAGCGCATTTGTGATGATGGTAGGGTGGGTTCCAGAGGGCAGGTAGGTACGTACACTTGTCCGACCTACAGACTCCAGGTGTCCAACTCAAGGACAAGAAAGAGCAGGGCAACCTCGGCTCAAAGCCCAGGCTCGAATCAGCGTAAGCAGCAGCGGCGACGTCTAGTCGCGATGCGCTGCCCGAGGTACCGACGGACCTCCTCCCTGCCTAACTTTAACCTTTACGTCGATGACCCCGAGGTGCGACACCCGTTTCCCCAACCACATCCATCCACGTCGCTATCGTTCGTCTCAACATCTTGTCATTTCGCAGTTTTCTCCTTCGATTCCGCCTCGGCCAGCAAGCATCACTGCCGCGCGCATCTTCTCTGTACTCATCATTCTAGTCCCTACTTTCCTCTTCGCGCGTCGATAACATCGCCCGCGATCCTAATGCTCTAAAGCCTGCGCAATGTCGACTTCCGCTGATATTCCCAATAAAACCCGCCTTTCGCATCAGCCGTCAACGATCCGCGCCGTCCTATCGCTGCCGCCACAATGGCTTCACATGTACGACGAGTTCATCACCAAGAACGCTAGTCAGGTCTCCCAAATAGAATCAGCTCTGAGGTCACTGACCTACATCATCCCGGGTAACCAACACTCACGCGGCCCTTCACGGCCTGTTACCATGACCCCCGAGCTAACCAATTCAAAGGTCGTTTCCGCGATGCTGAGATTGCCTCCGAAACGGTCCATTCGAGTGTGCAGCTTCTGTCTCTTTACCATGATACACTGCTCATGCGCGCCATATCACGCATTCCCATGGCACGGTTGCCATCTCCTCACAGTCGCTATACCAAATACTGGACTCAACGCAGTCCAACCTACCGCCGCATCGCCATGCTGCTGCAGATGGTTACATACACACAACTCCTCTGCGAGATGGCAGCCAAGAGGCGCGGGGGCGAGCGCGGTAGGTGGCGCGTGATCGTGCTGCTAGAGGCCATTAAGGCCATCTGCCGTCTGCTGCTACTGCGCGTGACGCGCTCACGGCCTCTCGTCTCGCCGGTACTTCCCGAGCGGGAGCCTATCCCCGAAGAACCGGAAGCCGATAACGATGGCGCTATCAAACAGATGTTCGACGAGTCTGTCACTGGCCATCCTCCAGGGGCTGGTGATGACGCTCCGAAGCCACACGAAAAGGACTGGGTCATGCCCAGGACCGGAATGAGCCTTCCTTCGTTGCCCAATGCCGGCGACATCAGCGGCTATCTTCTGGGCAAGGTCCTGACTGCTGAAGATATCAAACCCGCAGCCAAGCTGCTAAACCAACTACATGGCAGTGCACATGCGGCCGAGGTGCTCCATATCCTGGCGCCGCTCATTTATGCGTTGGCCCTCTCCAAAAGCAAGAACAAGAAGTCGTGGGCGCCATGGCTAGTAGGTTTGAGCGTTGAATACGCCGCACGCCAACTCAGGGACCGGAGCTTCAGGACCATGCCGCTTGAACGTGATGAGTGGAATAAACGAGGCTGGGCCATGGGATGGTGGGCCATGCGTGGAGCCTTCTACGAGAACGTCATGAAGGGCGTCGTCGGCGGCGTGCGCTCAAGAGTTCCCGGGCTCATTGGCGGAATCCTGGAAGACTACGAGTACCTGTGGGAGAATTACTATTTCAGTACCAGTGCATAGAGCACATCTCAGATTGCGATTACTTTGGATAAGTGTGGGACGAGCGTTGCTGTTTGCCACAGATATTCTCACCAGTGTCTTTCAGAGTCGGCATCATGTCGCTAAGCTCGTAGCCAGACCGCCTCCGACCGCTCATCAGGCTACAACATGCAGCATCTAGAGGCGGCGAATCACGAAAGAGGAGCGTTTCTTTTCCTGAGGCATGTGGGCAACTAGATGCTCGGTGCCAACTGAGATGTATATATGTTGGACGACAAGCGTACCGACGTGTATCAACCTCAATAACACTTCGATGCTAAGTCGCGATGTTATATCCTGATCAGCGTTGTGGAATGAAGCATACTAAGGGCCCGAGATGCGGCTAATGACCGCTAACAAGCCAGGCTAGGCCAACCCGCCATCAAACATACGTCCCGGTGCAGATCCTAGGGAGCCTCGGAACAAACGTGAGGAACTTCCGGAGTCGAGGATTCGTGTCGAGCAATTTTGTGGCTGAAGCTGAGGGTCATACGCAATGGTTTGTGAGAAGGATCGTCAGCCATGGCTCCCGTCACGCCACTTTCCGAGACAGTGATCCTTACCACTACGATGAAGGGATGGCAACCGACCTCGACCACGATACAGCAGTGAAGGAGGGTGATATTCCGGGTACCGGCCAATGTCTTCCGGTAACCGGGGGCTGAAGCTGAGTCTCTGCTGCCTCCGTCTACCAGCCTCGCAGCGAGATGAGTGGCTGTTCACGGCTTCCGGTTCTCCAATGGTGCAACACATAAAAGCGGTAGACGCATGCATTGAAAGTGGCGGTAAGTAAGCGTTAGGGTACTTCAGGTAGAGAGGTGGGCACTGTGGGATGGATAAAAGCTTTTGGTCCTCTTGTCCCCGTTATCAAATCAAGACGCATTGCATATCATAACCCCTCTCCCCTTTATCTTGAGCCTTTTGTGGAATCCGTCACTGCCCATCGCCCATCGATCGGGTGTTGCACGTTTTGCAAAAACGACTACTACACCCGCAGCACACACCGCTAAGCTAACCGAAACGGCAGAGAATGATCAGGGGCGCCTGTTGGGGGGGAGGGGGATACCAAGCTGACTCGAACAGAAGGTGCGGCACATGGCTGGTGATCGTGGTGCCGGATGCTCGTTCCCGTAGAAGCGGCTGCAATATATTGCTTTTTTCAGGCTCCACGTTGAGAAGCCAAACCCCCAATGGCTGGCGCCGACAATGTGCATATGGCCCTCCGGGCGACAGGCATGTGCAAATTCTTCATTTGAATGGCAAGTCGAGTTCTGGCAGTGGTCTTAAGCCGCACTTGGCTGGGCCTCAATGGTGGCTCGTCAAGTCAGGCGAAACTAGGGATGAGAGAGAGCATGGTATCGCATTTCGTATGCCAACCGGAAACCAGTCACCGGTCAGGCAATCAGTGCCCGTCAGCACCAGCAGCCTACAACATGGCTCAAGCTACCGTGAGCACCCAGTCAGTCGGGTCGTCATCCGTTAGATATCGATTCCGAGCGGCTAGAAAATGCAGGCAACGTATGCTAGAACGAACGAATACCATCAGTATTGGTGTTTACCAACGAGCTCAGGCCAGTTGAGAGTAGCACAACCTCGCCCATCCCTCGACCACACAATATGAGGATCACTCACACAGATAACGTCGGGAACCTTTTTATCCAGCCATCTATGCGGTTGCTCTGAGCTTGTATCGGTGTTGGGTACCAATTGCGAAAGGCAGACAACGGACACATAAACGGAGCCATGTCTGCACGACAACAATCACTACTACGTGCGGTATGAAACTGTACGGATACCTTACTGCGACGCAGACTGATAACTAAGCTGCAGGTGCGAAAACCGAGCCAAGGAAGCAGAGCAAAGACGAAGAAGGCATTGGGCCTCCGTCTGCCCTGTCCACCACCTATCATCCCGCCATCCGTCTTAATGCAGCTCCCGAAAGCCTGATTCATCGCCGGTCCATATTCCAGCGGGATTCACTCCGAGGGCCAAGGAGGCGGTGGGGCGGGGGCGAAGGGGGGGGAAGAAGAGGAAGAGGGGAGAAGAAAAAAAAGATGCACACAAACAGTCTTAACCTCAATGAGAGAGATAAGGCAGCGTTTACGCCACTCCAAACATCACCTGTTAGCTTACATTCCCCGGATCTTGCCCACACTTCCGGGGCCTCTAGTGTCGGTCTACGGGCCTTACCGACACTGTTGTTCGTCCACTGATCGGAGATTTGTGGATAAGTGCGCGGTCAGCCCCTGTAGGAGTAGGCTTGCTCCTCGAAGAGAAGCAGCGCGATGTAATGTAACCGATCCCGAGGAAGAGGTTGTCCGTTCCAAACCAATCCGTGCTCAGCTAGCCAAAGGAGAGGGAGGCAGGGATTATACTCGGTGTGTGCAAGACGAGACAAGTCTCAGAGAAATCTGCAACTCATCTGCATCTCTGTTCTTCGTACGTCCGTATCGTACTGGGGGAGGCGTTCTCTGCGGCCCCCCCTATGAAGATGAGGGGTGAAGTGACAGCACATGGAGGGAGGGCAGCTGCAGTGCTATATACGTAGGTATATCAGAGGCATTGTGGAGTGTGGCAGCGGCACGACATACTCGATGACAAGGGGGTCGATGGGCTGAGATTGTCTTCAGCCTTTGGAACCCAACCTGGCGGCCACGAGGTCGCGCCTGATCTGGGCTCGCCTTGCCTCATCTAATGGTGGGTGACCTACAGCACAGCTATCTCTGCCTATGCTGATGACATATGGGCTACTCTCGTTCTCCTCCTTTGCGTACCTACAGAGAGAGGGCTGCGTCTACGAAGAAAGAGGTGTCCAATCGATTTTGGCCATGGTCCCCAACGACACCCCCCCCTGCTCCGACCCCCTGGTCTCCCTGATGCCAGCCGCGAACCCGCAGGCCCCCGGTCACCTCAGGCTCCAGTCTCGAGACTACCTACTGCGCACTACCATGTATCGTGCGTAGGTATACGCACCCGATGCTGGCTCTGTACGTAGTCAGTAGCGGGCACTGTGAGTCTGCTCTTCGTAGTGTACTGCCCCCAAACCACCGCTGGTGTTATAGGCCAAACGTGCGTAACATAGTGCGGGCTGCATTGGAACAACGCGACACGACAAGGCAGAGAGACCGAGTGCGGCCCGCATTGCTTTTTCTTCGCGATACTCTGAGACTAGGGCCAGCCAGCCACCCTGGATCTCTCGCTCTTCCCTTCTTGATTCAGACGAGAAGCAAGCAGCAAAAGACGCAGGCATGGAGAGGGGCCCTAGAGGATACCTCAATCCTACCGTACGGAACCCATATCGCGACTGGCAAGGGGGGAGGGGGTCCAATCCAATCCGATTTCCCATATTTTCCGCCCTGTCCGAGATCGAACTCGCCGCCCATCATACATGACGACTCGCCTCCGCTCGCCCATTACTCTCGTCTTTGCGCTCCCTCCCTTTACCTATAGTATCCCGTGGCGAGAGCAGGCTCAAACATAACCGGGGAGCCTCTAAAGCTGCCAGATCTCCACAAACTACCACCAAGGACAGAGTAGACCGCGGTGTTCCCGGCTTCCTGCTTTTGCCGCGTCAACCTAGGACGAGACAACCGCCAGAACATGAGCTTGACCATCTCCAATCGCTTCGTCGGGCATCAGGGTTCTCTAGGTGGAAGCGCTTTTCATCCTTTTCCTCCGCCACACCATGGGCCATCTCTCATGCATCGTCAACAATGGCCAGCGCGCAATCCTGTCCAGGTCCAGCCGCAGAACCGCGACCCGACTGCTTCCATGATACCTTCGCACAGTATCCGCCACAACACCGGCCCTCCACGTTTCAGAAAACCCGCCGATGCTGTTTCCGTCACTTCGTCGGCCTCAAAAGAACCAAATCCCGGTTTCGACAACCGCAGCCAGGATGCCGACGACAGCAGGTTCTCGACGCCGGCGTCGGGTCCGTCAGCAGGCATCATCAACCCATTTGATCTTTCTGCCGCCGCACCTTCGGAGCCTCGTCACGTCCTCGTCCGCGTGGAGGGCGACGCCGGTGCGTACCTCGGCGATGTTACGGGACGGCCAGTCCCTTCTAAGCTTAGTCTGCCCACCGAGATGGACGGCTCACGATCGGTCACTAGCGGAGACCAGATCGAAACTGGCTGGAGCCTTGACTATTATGGCTTGTCTCGCACTCGACGAGAGTATGGAAATGGCATTGGGTGGCGCTGCCAAGAATCAGAGGCTGTGGCAGATGCTCAGGGAAACTTTGGATGGCCTCGAAAGTACGTATGCGCCATGTGCTCACTGCATTGGAAGGCCATGCCTTTGCCAGCCAAGGTCATCCGAGGCGATATTAGTCAGAGGGACAGAATTGATCTAAGAATTGTACGTACTCGCCCACGCGATCCGGCGTCTACCTCACCCCGTCGGACGGTACACTTACAAGAACCAGCCCAGCCCGCTCGATACACGGAGGGACCCAGCATTCTCCCGGCCTGGCTGCTCAGAGGTACGTCGCAATAATGGGATCATGATGGGTTAATCGTGCGTTAACAAGAGTTTAACCCGCAGCTTCACTACTACCTCGACCATGAAGGACCCGGCAATGAGCCGTGCGTCCGGGGTCTTTGTCAGACCTGCCGGCCCGTTTCTTGGTTCCCGGACTCGCAACCGACGACCCACTGTTGCCCACCGCCGGTTGTTGAACCGGGCTACCTCAAGGAGATTTACAGGTGCATCATGGATAACTGCCCGTTCCTGACAGACACACGGCGGGAGATGAAGGTACACATAGATCTTCGGCCATTAGTCAAAGCTGATTCTAACTGACCTTTCCGCACAGGCCCATCTTCATTCTCCCCGAAAGAATGGCCACAAATCCTATCTGACGGGGCTAGCCAGCCGTATCGAGAACGGCCAACCTCTGAGCTCCATTGACCAGGAGATTTGCTCGCGGCTGATGCTCATGTTCAACGACAGGGACGCCCGCGGGCAAAAGTCCATTTCTCAGCCCATCAACACAGTCCTGGGTCCGGAGGATGTCAGCAGCCCTGCCGTCTTACGAGAGCACACCCAGTGGATGTCGTACCTCGGGCTGCACACTCCTGAGATGCACCGACGGGATTTCTTCGATCCGAGGAATAATCAGTGGTACTACCGCGAGTACAACCTCGATGACGACTTCGAGAACGCGTGCGAGAATATTCGGATCATTTCCTACGCGACGGGACGCCCAGTGAAGGCCTCTGACTTTCTCTGGCGCTGACTCTTCCATTCTTCCCCTTCTTCTTCCAGGCAAACGGAGTTAGGTGCTCACCGAGCGTAGATGTATCTCCATTAATGGACACATCGAGTCACGTTACGTTGACATGGATATTGTTTATGAGAACACCGTCATTGTATTGTGTTGGACAACTTATGCGAGGCGAGCTGGCAAAGGGCGAACCAGCCGGGGCGTAAGGAAAACGGGTATCACGACTTCATGCTTTGCTATGACCAACAACAGACGTCACGACCTTTGGCGTCATGCGGTTTTCACGACAAGCGAGCATATATTGGGCTATTAGGCTACAACTGGGTGCCACCCCTGCATACTGGGGGGGGACGGTGTCTGTTCTTTCGGAGTCCTCGCTTTTCCGTTTGGCGTTTGACTCGTTTTACGATTATTGGAATATGGGGGACCGGGTCTTCGGCGTCGATGGTGAATGTGGCCGGGCCTACTAGGCCCTGTCTTCTCTCATTCTCCTTAACAGCAGCTTACGGCGTACACGTGTTGGCGACGGTGATACCTTCATGGAACAATATGAAGATACCTACTCGAACTTTGGAGGGGTCCTTTTAGTTGATTACAGGGGGTGAAGGTTGATCGGAGGTTCACATCACGCGAGTGCTGACGGCTCAATATTCGAGAAAGAAGGGCAAGGTAGAATTGCGTGTAGCAACGACTGTTCTCAATGGGTAGAGAATTTGTATACTAGGCTGTGGAGGCCAAGCACTGGCGATGCTTTGTTTTTGCCCAAACTAAAGGCGGGGGGTGCCAGGCCGAGGAGACTTGGCTTGGGATTGGTCCGGTTCGTAGACTAAGCAATCTAGCTATGGGCAATTTGGACACCACTTTGTGTCGAGGTCTTCAAACTACATCTTAATAGGAGTGCGTGGTAGGCTGTTGTTGATTCATGCCGGTGGATTTCACGCCGTGCCCCCAGCTTGGGTGGTCTCAAACGAGGGACCAAATGCGAGAGATGCACAAGAGATAATGGCGTCTCGGGCGTTGTATATATCTAGCCAATGGGATGGAGTCTGTATCTGTGTCGCATTCGGAATTTCTTTTCCAAATCACGCGTATCTCGAGTGGGCATTTGGAAGCTGAAGCGGTGGGGGAGCCCAATGGACGGATTGGTGAGGTAACGCTGAACCATTCGGAAGGAAAAGATGCTCTCGGCCTAGGGGTCGATGGAACATGTCTGTGCTCGGTTTGGCGGAATTGAGGAGGGAAACTATTTATAGTCTCAACCAGGCATACAACAACACCTTTAGAGTGCTTATAGTAACTCGGATTTCCAAAGTGGCCATGGCCCTATATGGGATTACGACGAATTGTTGCTCAGTTCCTTATGGGCGAACATAGCAGATGGAAGTCTGGCGGATGTGCGCAGATGTTATGATTGGGCTCGTGATGGGGGGCAACGATTAAGTGGCTTACACTCGCATGGAAATACCCCTGGAGTGGGTCATCTTGACCGTGAACTCTAAATTGAGTTGCAGACTACGCACCTGATGGCAATTGATGGCCTGGAAGAAACAATTCCTGGGGATTATCCTGAACATCTCTTTCGAAAATCACCAAGAGCATCTACCAATAGGGGCCGGACACAGGCTCGATACATCATCTCTCACCAAGTTGTTCCGTCGAATGAACACGCTGTGAATGAGACAGCTGTATCATTACCATAACGCGATCGAACCATCCTTGCGGAGGGATATGCGGTGGAGGCTTACAGATGGCAACCTCACAACATTGGCGCTCTCAGACCAAGGTTTGTCCCTTCGTCTCAGGAAAAGCATGAGCCGGGAGAGACAAGGTTTTAAATAGAAGTTACGACACCAAGATTGACCAACTCACATTTGTCTAATTTTTCCCTTGCTGGTATCAAACTGATTAATGTACTTGTTGCTCGTAGGGTTCTCCCAACAAACGACATGCTCATTACGTATCCGGCCTATCTTCGGTCCGCAGTTTAAAAACTAAAACTCGAATATATATCGTCTTGACCGGCAGCTCATTTTCATTGTATCAGTTCCATGTGATATATCTATCCCCTTTGTATTCCATCTGGGCGTCTTCAGCCATCATCTCGATACGCACGTCGCTGTTACCTACTTGCAATATCCTCTCCAAGGACATGTCACTGGTATCGCCATGATCTCGCTCGCTGTGCGCTCCGTCCGCGGAGCTTTGGTTCGGCTTTCACCGAGCTCGCATTCCTACCCGTACGCACCGCTGTCGAACGCAAATGGCCATTCCGAACCCTCGTTACCCAGCGGATCGACTCCAAAACCGCAGCCAACTACCATCCTTGCAAGACTAATAGCCATCCTTTTCTTCTTACTGCCCTCCTTCCTCCAGAGGAAGCTAAGGCTCAACGACTCCAAGAACCATCGCAGGCGCCTGTATTCAACTTCCTGGCTTGACGGCCTGCGTGGTACCGCATCTCTGATTGTCTTCATTTGCCACTATTCAGGACCAAACTTCGGATGGTACCTCGCTAGACCATACGGAATCCCCCAGGAGAACGATACTGCTGCTTCCTCGCCGCTACAGCTCCCTTTCTTACGCGTCATCTACAGCGGAAAGCCCATGGTTCACATCTTCTTCGTCATCTCCGGCTTCGTTCTCTCTCTCAAGTCTCTACAGCAGGCCAGAAAACACAACTATGACGGGCTCCACCGCACCCTCTCGAGTAGTGTTTTCCGCCGCGGCTTTCGATTGTTTCTCCCTACTACTGCCTCTACATTTATCATCATGATCATGATCCGCCTTGGTTGGATGGGACAGCCCCTGCCCACTCTATGGGAACAACTTATAGACTGGAAGAATGCTCTCTGGAGGATCACCTTTAGCTGGCAGTGGGACATTACCCAATTTCTCCCCTACGATGTTCATCTTTGGACTATTCCAATTGAGTTCTCTAACTCATTACTACTATTTGTTACTCTGACGGGTGTAAGCCGTATGAAGACGTGTCTACGTCTAACATCTGTGCTTACTATTATGGCTTACTGCCTTAGGTGTGGCCACTGGGCCGCTTTTGAATTCTTTGGTGGCATGGTCCTCGCTGAGATCGGTCTTATCCAAGAGGCCCGCCGCGAGCGGGTTGCTGCAGCTCTCCAGAACAAGGAGGAGGAATCAGATTCAGCGGCCCTTGACGGCGTTTCTAGCTCGTGCTCTAAATCCGTCAAGACAGTCATCATCAAAGCCTTCCTCATTGGCAACCTTATCTTTGGTCTGTTCGTTGCTGGGTGGCCGGACGAAGTTAATGATATTACCCCTGGAATTGCGCCGCTCTTTCACAATACCATGGAGCCCTATTTCACTATGGGGGGAGACCTCGTTGCGTTCCCCTGGTATGCACTTGGTGCTATCCAGATCGTTGCCGCCTTGCAACAAGTCACGGTGCTACAGAACCTCTTTATAACACCTCTGGCGCAGTATCTTGGCGACATAAGCTATGCATTGTACCTCGTTCACGGGCCTGTCTTGGACGTTTTGGAACACCGCTGGATGCCCTACGTCTGGACTCTGGTTGGCAGCAGAGAGGAAGCTGGTATGTGGGGGCGCATGGTGGCATGGTTCATCGGTCTGATTGCGCTGGGAGTACCTACTATCTGGTGTAGTGATATTTTCTGGCGAACAGTTGATGTTAAGACGGTCGAGCTTTCGCGCTGGATCGAGGCTCAGTGCGTGCGAGACGATTGAACCGGTACTCTTGAACGACGGGCGGTTGCCATAGACGGCGGTCGACGTGGCATTTGAGGCGTCGAACAGCTACCCAGACGTCGTTTCGTTCTCTACGTACACAAGATATAGTTGCATTAGCACCATCATGCAAAAGAAGCAAATGTATTGTGGTTTCTGAGCTACAATTCTCATGGTATTGAAGTCCTAGTTCTGTGAAGGAAGTGTTGTGATAACGCCGGTATAATGTCCGTAGTGAACAGAGTGGTCAAGCCGTCAAAACATCATTGATGCGATACACTGAATAGGAATCATTACCTCATAATCCATTGGGTAGTTCCACTTTGCCTTGATCTACGGTGGACGATTGCAGGCAAGCGGGCCTCTCTCTCAGCATCATGTCGATTGCTACATACGTACGTGCTATAATTACCCATTCGACTTAGATGTGCCCAAGATGTTGCTTTACCTTTTCTTAGCCCTTGGAGGGCCGTAAACATCCCCGCAGCACGCTTAAAAAGAGTAGCCACGGAGCCCACCTTGGTGCCATGCGGCGTGCGTTGAAGGTTTTAAAGAACCTACCGCACATGTCAAGGGCACACTTTCCTGATGTAGGAAAGTAAGTCTGATAGAATAAGAAATGGCCCAGGCCTTTTTTGATGCTAAGGAAGCATGCCTGGTATCAATTTACAATCCTAACAACAACAAATTAGGGGTACGCCGTCCAGGAACGTGAGGTTTATCGTTGGTACCACAATTGTCGTTGCCATTTTTGTTTGAAGATTGCCTTTGTTCGAGGCCATGCAATCCTGGGAACACTCACGGACACGAAGACTCTGGATTTATCTATCTCGAGAAGCGTTATATGGCTCGTTGGCCGGTGAAGCAATTGCAATTACTGACGTCAACGCGCCCTCTCGAAGGCTCGTATGAAGGCTAAATCGTGCGTAGTAGTTGAGTCAACGGTGATGAGCAAAGATTTGACTCTGATAAATTTGCAAGGAAAGCCAACGGCATAGGACAACGTTCTAGTAGCAGAGTCATGGTTTCTTAATTAGTCGGCTCTGGAATCGGTAATACCTCAAGCTGGTCAGGTACGACATTTCCATATTTGTCTCAAGCCCTCCGAGAGCGAGGGTCGCCGGTATTGACCAGACATTGGTATGTATTTAACGGACCGCGGACTACGTTAATGTACATCTTTTGGTAAAACCAGTTCTCCATCTCGTACTTGGGTGGGGGGTTCCAGAGCCATCAACATCCCTTTGGGCTCCGCCGATGCAGGATTTGAGACCATAGGCGTAGTATACGCGCATGGGGTCGGGCTTGCTGGTAGAGCTTTTATTGGCGGGGGACCCGTAGCACTTACTGTTGATGAAGACAGAGGGCTTGTAGACGTCGCCGTCGCCGTCGCCGCCACAGGCAAACTTCACGGCATTGCCATTTTTGTCAAACATCTCAGGGTAACTGCAAGAGCGTGTTTTGGTTTGGCCTCTCAAAAGCATCCAACGGCACATTATTGACTAACCTACTCGTACTCCATGCCGTCGTTCTTGGCGGCAGCTTTGCAAACGTATTATTTGGGAGCCTACTGTCAGTGTGTGGCAGATGATCTGATGTGAAGGGCATATTAAATGTCTGGCTACACTGGCAGATGGCAGATTGATAAACGTAGATTTTATAAGATAAAATCAAATAAAAAAATGAGATCGTAGTAGGGCTTTACAAATGTCGCTAAGTTCTACTTCTGACATGACTGAGCTGACTGATAAAGGTATATGACCCATGTCGTCACGACTAAGATAAACAACCTATTCAAGAGGGCAGTCCATCATCCAAGCATATCATACCAGCAAGCACTACCACTAATGGTGTAGAACTGTATGAGCGGACCGGAATATGAATTCCATGACTTTCTTCTCGAAGCAGAGAATCCGGTAATTCCATTCCACTTTGACTTATTTAGATGTCTGCTGTCTGTTGGGTAACCAAGCAAATGTGCTTGACTCCTACCCTCTTGAATGTAAAAACAGTGATTGCGGTTTAGACGAGATAGACCCAGGCAAAAGTGGCATCTCAAGAGGATACAAATACATCACCTGTTCTGATTTGGGAGGTGGAACAACAATGCATGAAACCATGGGCATAACCGATGTACAGCCCTAATATCTAACTATATCGAGGGTAACGGCGAACATAATCATTTTATTGATACTGAAAAGCACATTGGCTGTCGAACTTCACTGGCCTATATATCCGCCTTTACTGCTGATTTATACTCGTCGTCGGCTGCTAACGATGTCATCCAAACGAAAAAGAACCACAATTCGTCGAACGCGAGCCCTATCATGAGCCACACCCGTCAGAGTCCTTGTTCGGCCACTGCCCACTCAGTGCGCAACAAAAACACACACCAGCTGAATCAAGCCTGGCACGTACGTGGTGGCTTTCCCCTCAGTCTTGGATCACTTTAGAAACAATACTAAACAAAGCCCACCCGACTCACTTGCACATGCTACACAAACTCACCACGGAACCGGCTCCGGTTTTGCAACATCGAGTTCCTCGCCGTCACAGCCTTGACTCAACCACCGTCGCAGGGAGTATTCATTGCATGCTGAAGCCGCTGTGGATGTGACTACCGCCCAGCGGTCGGCTGCCCTGCCACTCCACCATCGCAGCCGCCGTGGCTTTGGCACCGGTAGTTGAAGTATTTCTCGCATAGCCCTAGTTGAGTACACGTAGACGCTGTCATGCGATGTCGATGACGAACGGACCCAGTCAGGCAGCACCGCGGGTTTGAGAGTATATTTGCCAGGTAAGTTGCGACGAGATTGCAGAGGAGAAGGTGGCCTGGCAGAGACATCTCTCTCCCCCTCTGGCTGTACGTGTTCTCATTTCAGAGCACAGGACTCATCATAATCCGATCAACTGGCATTGTAGCCCCGTCTACATGCTACAAGCTGGTCAAATGCCAGTATCCCGTTCTCTCCAAGACTTCAGTGGGGGCTTAGTCCAGTAGGCACGGTCTCAGGCTTCCCAGAGGTCGGCGTATCGCACGCCATTCTTACCTCTATGTAGCAGCGTTCTGACCCATGAAAACCATTCATATTCCGTAAAAAGTGCAATCAGGAAAGACGCCTAGGGACAATGCAAGGAGTGTTTATTTGATGCTATCCATTGCATTTTAACATTTGACCATCAACCGTAATGGAACACCTCTTTCGTGAGTGACGCCTCCAACCTCCTTGTTCTGGCCATCCCTTTGCCAATTCATATTCTTATCCTGTGCCATGTCCGTTCCGTTTTTCGCCCGAATCCGTGGCCTAGGAAAATGACATTTCGAGTCCATCGAGTCTGGCCCCCCCCACGAGGTGATTACCATTATATACTATATCGATTGGCCAGCGGGCAGCGCCGGCGGCAATACATGTGACATGTGACAAAGAAAAGGTTGACTTTTTTGTTCCGACTGGCAAGGAAATATAGACGATCATGGCCCCACAGGGGCGTTGTAATATTGTACAGGCACCATCGGCCATTCTGACGACATCGTCGTAGGCTGCGGCGCATTCTCGTCAACGACAGTGCTGGAGAAACTCTCCCAGTCTTCAAACGAGACCATATTTTCGGGCATGAACTGAAAGTTCATTGGCTGGTTTTCCTGTGGTGGTGGGGGAAGCTCCCTGTCAAGGGATGCTCTTCGTACAGGCTCGGTATTGGCACGCGGCTGCGGCGTGTGGAACATCTGCTGCGGCATCATTGATTGAGCCCTCATCTGATCCATGAATGGTGAGGGTGACGAATCCTGCGAAGCCAGTACAGGAGGCTGAGGCGACTGAGTCGGCAAAGTCTGCGAGGGTATCGAAGGAGGAGGAAGAAGGGGCTGAGGGGGGTATTGTTGTGGAAGAGCCGAGGGAGGCGGGGCGTAGCATTGAGAATACTGCATCGGTGGTGATGCGGGAACCGGCAGGAAGACGAGGTCAGCAAGCTTGTAGGCGAGGGACACAATCGACTCAGCTTCGGTGCTGGGCCCAGAGAAGAACTCGAGAAGATCCTGGAGTTGACCTGGACTCTCATTCTCCATGAAGCCCTGCGCACGACCGGTCTGTGTGGGGTTCCAGCTGAAATTAGGTTGACGTCCGTTGAACTCATTCGCCTTGGACATAAGGATATCCTTCCAGGCCTCGTGGATCAAAGGCTGGTGAAGAAGGCCGTAGATGACCCTCGAGTGCATCCAGTCAGACTTGGTCTTTCCCGACTCAAAATGCCGAGCGACGTGCTCGACGTGGCGTTCCCTGGAAGGGTGAAGGGCCGAGCAGAAGCCGCAAGCCCAATACTTTCTCCTCTTGAGATATTTGACCACCTTCTCTGAATGGGGGCACGACTTGCAGCCGTGCGAGGCCTTGTGGTGTTGATTGAAAGTGTTTGCTCCCCAGAAGCTCCTGTTGCAGCCAGGCTCGGGGCAAGGGTACTTCTTCCAACGCTCATGGAACTCCTCCTCGTGACGCTTCCAGTCATACTTTCGCTTGAACCGTGTCTCACAGGAAGTGCACCAGTAGAAGTTGAAACGACCGGGACCCCATCCCGTTTGCGCGCTTGCCACCTGGGGTAGGTTGCCTGGTGCGCCTACAGAGGGTTGGGGTGCGCATTGGGTGGTAGAAGGTGCCTGGGACGCTTGCGAGTAGTGTGTCGCGACAGTGGCATTGGAATTCGCGGAGCCCATCGACCAGATACTAGCGTGACCGGAAGAACCCGAGCTCGTGGACGACACGGAAATGCGTGGGCGATGACCTATTTGACCGTGCAAGATTGCTGGAGGAACAGTTGGGGAGTTAGCAGGGCGACTCTTCTCCCGGGGTCACGCCCGGTTGAGAATGATAGGAACAAACCTCGTGTGGAAGCATCCTCCAAAGGAGAGTCCTGTGATGTTTGTGGCTGCTGGTGCCGTTGTTGGTGTTGTTGCTGGTGCTGTGGCTGGTGTTGTGGCTGGTGTTGTGGCTGGTGTTGTTGCTGGTGCTGTTGCTGGTGGTGAAGCTGGTGTTGAAGCTGGTGCGTCCTGTCTTCGCCGCCCTCCCACATTTGTAGCAATACTTCGCGTGACAGTCCAGAACTCTTCAATGCCTCAAGCGTCCGCCTGGCATCAGCCAGCACGTCGGCTGGGGCTTCCTGCATGACGTGATCCATCGGCGCGGCCTTCCGCTTTTCCTTCCACACTGTCGAGACGAATTGGTAGTTGCGTCGGCGTCTTTGGGTCGAACTGGGAGGTGCGTCATGCAGCGGCGACGTTGTTCCGAGAAGTGAACGTGATGCGGGCGAACGAGTGCGATGAGGGCAAAGTTGTCGTTTCTGCTGTTGTTGGTCGTGGCGATTTGTATCCGAGGTGGCTGTGGTTATAGCAATGGGGGATAGATAGAGTGCGTGGCGCGAGATTGGCGGACAGGAAATTTGGATGGAAAGACGCAACAACGAAGTAGACCTGATGAGGTGCAGGGCAAGCCCAAGTAAAGGATGTAGGATGAGAGAATCAAGAGAGGTCAGGGTCGCATGCAAATGTGGAAGAACTGAGGCGTCTGTTCAGGGATATAATAAGTGGGAAACGAGTGTGGGTGGTAAAGAGGAAGTTGGTATTAAGGGTAAAGAGCGAGGGAAGAAGTCGAGGGGGGGGGGGGGGGGGGGGGGGGGTAAGTGAAAGTAGATGCAGGTCGGAAAAGTATGGTGAGGTAGGTGCGGGAGGTGGGAGGTTAAGATCAGATTCTCGGACGGCAAAAGAAGCTGGTGGTGTCGTGCCTAGTTCGGACGCTTTGGCGGGAAGCGAGAGGAGTGAGGAGGTGGTGGTGGAGCAGCACGAGGAGGGAATGATGGGATGGGACGGGTATGGGACGGGATGGGTTGGGATGGAAGGAGGGAGGTGTGCGCTTTGAATTTCGGGATTGGACCAAAGCTCAGCGCGCAAAGCTTGGGGCGAGTTAGTCAGGAACCTAGCACGCAGAGAAGAGACGGAAGGAGGGAGCTAGGGGAGTAAGTACCTCAGAAGGGGTAGGTTAGGTAGGTGCGGTACGGATAAAGACGCAAACAAGGAAGGAGGAGAAGGAAGAGGAGAAGGAGGAGGAGGAAGAGAAAGGTGAGGGGCCTGATGCCTCCTGGTGCTGCGCTGGTGTTTGGGCGTCGAGTGCTAGCTGTTGGCCGCTGCTAAAAAGGACGCGCGCAGATTTAAACAAATAATAATAAATATACCCAGATATATGATCAAACAAGACCGCGGGCCCGGGGAGGGAATAAAAACGACACGAGAGAGGTGCTAGGGTAAGAAGCCTTAGATAGTGTACCTCAGGCAGTTTCCGTACGGTACCCAACAACTACCTGGCAAGGTTAAGTGCCACCTTGAAGCGTAGGTAGTGTGAGATGGCGGGAGGCCTTGGTCAAGATACTACTACAGAACCCAGCACACTGTTCCGAACAACCCTGTCCTTCGTTTGTCTATCTTCTCCCTCCTCCATCTGTACCAAGACTTTGTCTCCCCTTCTCCCATCCGGCCGAGATCGATGTGAGCAGGGGGTGAGTGGGCTGCCGCACCGTACCGACTGGAGTGGTTCCGGGTCTCGAAATAGTGGACAAAAGCCACTTTAGATGGGGGCAGAAGGAAGAATTCAAAGAAGCAGAAAATGGAGTGTGGAGTGTTGACATGATGGACATTGAAGATGAGAGACAACGCAACGACACGACACGAGGCGAGGCGTGTGTGAAGTGTGCGCGTACCTATGTCGCCCTCTATCGGTCTTTCTCTCTCCATGTCTCTCCGCGTCAGACAGACATTGCACTTGTCCCTCGTTTGACGCAGACAAGGCAAGCCGAGGAGGGGGGATAAGTCGATGACAGCAAGCAACAAGCATAGCTGACAGAGATTTTCCTCTTCCCTGCCCCGTCCTGTGTTTCCTTGCGCGCGTCTCTTCCCGGATCGCGACGGGTGATAGGTACTAGTCACCATCTGAGCCAGAAGAATTGGTACTGTCCTGTAGGTTAGGTGGTAGCATACCTAGTTAGGTACCTTACTTGGTCCCTAGTGTACCTAGGTAGGTAGTTGGTAGGCACGACGTATACTCGCTGCAAGGTACCTACTCGGGTTGGTACCTTACGTTATCCGGCTGTTGGTCTTTTCCCTTTGGGTTCGAGTACCTATGCAGTTAGTTGCTCTCAAGATGGATTAACTCACACACCAAGGCAAACCCCTCAACGGGCGTGTTTCACACTTTCTAGATTACGCACTTTCCTTGGAACGTAAGCCCCTGCAAGCCACCAAAAGAGCTGTAACGCGCTCTGCTGGAACCTACGCGTAGACGCAGGTGTTGGGAAGAAGATGGAGGGGAGGTAGGAACCGGGGGTTCTGGAGACCAGGCCAGGTGAAGAGGAGCCAAGAACAGGGCAAACCATCTCGTCATCACAAATGGCGCGCTCCGCGTCCGCGGGAACATACGAACGCACGGATACGCGCACACGAGAGTACGTAGCAGGGCAGCACACATGACACTGGGAAAAGGGGGGGGGGGGGTTCGAGGCATGGCATGACGGGAAGGCGTCGCGCGAATGTGCAGTGTATGCGTGTGATGGCGGCTAGTCGGAAGGAACGAACAATTAAAGGAGAGGAAAGCCGAGTGGGGTGTGGGGGCAAGATTGGGAAAGGACATGACGAAGAGGGAGAGAGAGAGAGAAAGAGAGAGAAGAGAAGGGGCCAGCCGCATGGTTCGGGGGTTTGCGTTCATTCGCATTCGCCAGGATCAAGGGGGTAACTGGGTACGAGATGATCAGGGGTGCAAAGAGAGAAACACGGGTGAAGTGTGTGGATGGCATGGAAACAGGAGCAAGCAAAGACTCTAAGGCGGTCGGAAGAAACAATCAGGGTGGGCAACTGGACTCAGTGTCTGAGCCGAGACAAAAGGCACAGGAGAAGGAAAGAAAACATGGCCAATAATTCAAGATATTAAAAACAATCAAGCCGGCACATGGGAAGCTTGGGCCAGTTTTTAGTTTATTATCCATACATGGTGGATGTCAGCGACCAGGATTGAGTTGCCAGGTTGTAGCCCCTGCCATGGCTTCCAGCGGCTGCACACAGTACCTACCTACATACTCCGTACAAACCCCCAAAACTACCAAGGGCACGACGGCCACGATGGATGGATGGATGGACGATGATGACGATTGATGACCCAGTCAACAACGTGCCATCCATTCATCCATCCATCCTGAACTGGGTACTCTCTTAAGCAAGCAAGCAAGCAGGTGGCAGATCAGTTCCGCATTTTTCAACTTTGCAGTCATCCCGCTAGTGATAAAACGGCAAGACAGACGCGCTGCGTATAGGTAAACGTGCCTTCCTGTCCGGCAAGGGCTCCGGCCGCTAGAGCCATGGGCTAGGAAGCAAGCGAGCGTTGGGAAGGAACTGTGCCTGGTGGTGTGGTACACTATATTTGTAGTAAGAGGAAACATGCGGGAACGGCGCATAGCACAAGCGTTGCGTTAGGTAGATCCCAAAGTGTAGATGTTCACTGCCAGTCAACCAGTCAGCCGGCAGCGCTGGTACCCCTAGGAGATGCAATGCAGCAAGCATTGTGTAAAAGGGAAAATGGGATACGTACCCCCTCAGGGCCCACCCAGGATGATGGAGACTGTTCGTGGCGCCCTTCCCCGCTACTAGTTGGGCGCTAATACCAAAGAGGTAACATGAGGAAAACGTGCTCCTTGCGCCAAAGACCAATAACGTCTGGGGTGATGAATCGACCGCCTCTCTTTTCCTTCGTGCCCGTCTGTTTCCACCTTTGGATCTATCGTTTTCATTTCTTTTTCTCCTCTCTTTTCCTCAATCGGGCGGAGAGGGAAGTTTCTGCTTCTTCTAAAGGAAAGTGTGCGACATCAAAGTTGGTCTAGCATCATCGGGCAACGGTGTGCTCCTCGCCCCCCCCCCCCCCCCCCTATCCCCTTCTTTCCTTCCAACCCCCACCCCCTTAGCAATGAGGCATGCGATACTACTGCGTATGCATCGTACGGCGCAGCAATGAGCTCAGCAGCGCTAGGGTTATGGGAGTCTCCGGGCAAGACGTCGTTGAGGTTGTCGTCAGGTCTGCAAACTTTTTTTTTAATACGAACAACCCCAAGTAAACTGGCAAAAATCAACTCCATGGTTGATGACTGCCTTTCATGATTGGTTAGCTTCCCACCTGAAACAAATTCAGGACTGCTCACCGATACGCCACGGAAGGCCCAGCGTTTCGAAACAGGTCGAGAGAGGGAAACACAGCCATCCATCCATCCATCCAACCCCCTTGGTGTGTGAGCCGGCTGGCAGCTGCAACACACCTCTGCATTACTCTCTAGGTAGTACTCCGTAGTGTACATTATTATGCTCTTCCTGCCGCGGCAGGTGGGTGGCCTGGATATAGTAGTACGTACCAAGTATTTCGGCCTGTTCCCTGGAGACGCAGCGAATAGGGGCCCCTTTCCTCTTGGGGAGGGTTTCCTGCGGATACTGACTCCTACTTGGAGGATCTCGAGGGCTCCGAGGCAAGCGGTCAAACTATAATGAACCTGGAGCTTCTTTTTTTGTCCAGGGCACACTTGGCCAGGCACCTACAAGGCCATGGCAGGGAAAACCCAGTCATACTTGGAAAGCCTTGAGAAGTTGAGATAGGTATGTAGTACAGGTACAAGTACAAGGGGTAGCTACAGGAAGCTGCAGGTATGGACCACTGACGGACATTTTCGGTTGGGCCAGCGTTAATAACACGATAGGGTAAGGACGGGGGATCAGTGGCACCCACCCTGTTCTGATTGGGCCATAGGTGTGTATGTGTTCGCAACCTCCAAACACCAAAGGGACTCAGCACCAAAGAGCAAGAACCATCCAAGACTCACATACCCGGATACTGACACTGCGTACGGAGTTTTTCACTTTACTCTACGAATATAAACTACGTGCACATGCCCATCCCATCGCACGCTTCATTACCTACTACGTATGTATGCGGGGCCAAAAACGGCTTCCTCACGGACCCTGCTCCCCTTCCTTGTATCCTCTTCCTTCAGCCTTGTCCGCTTTCTCTTTTGCCCAAGGGCATGGCGTGCTGCTTTCGCTAATGGAGTATAGGTACCTGAGGGGGGACAGCCACACGACCCTCGCTGATTGTCAATTTTCAACCATAATGGGTGATGATTGAAGGCGACCATCTGCTACCTTGGCATCTCAGGGTGTCATTGTCCTCCATCATGCGTCGCTGTCGCCAGCTCGTATTCACATTCAACCAACGTCTGCCTCACCACGTTTCCTATATGAAACTCCCGAGTCCCAACGGTATATCATCGCCCATCCGAGCTAGCGGTGCGTCTCACAATTCCCGTCCGCGCTTGGCGGAAACTTGAACGCGGGCGCCACGGGGAGGGGGCGCGCCATGATGGTTGCCGGCGATATCGGACCTCATGTTGGAGCGGACGTCCAGAGCCGGCTCCTTTGGTCGACCCATCTCGTTTGGGCTGGGCTGGCCTCGTCTTGTCTCGTGTCGTCTTTTTTTGGACTTGACCGACGGCTATCCGTTCCATCAGCCACACGTTCTAGGCACTCAAAGCCTCCATCTCGGACCAGGAACTCGAGCACGGCCGCCTCAACGGACATGGAAGCTGGGATATTTCAGACAGGCGATGGAGGGAAACGAACACAAGCAACAGCCGCTGATAGATCGACGACGCCTTGTGCAAGGGTGCCTGTGCAATTCCCCTCCTCCCTACCCTCACACTACACGCCAGCAATCTATCGACTCTCGATTTAGCATATTCTGCACTAACCGCGACTACCTGCTAGTTTACTTTAGGCGAACCCACGATGATTCCGATGGTCTCAAGTTTGACATCGGACATGCCACTGCCCCCTCCTTGTCGTCTTTTCTTCTCCCAACTACCCTCGAGAGCATCAGTGTCCACTCCACGCTGCGCCCTCTTGTGTCATGTCATGCCATCCCATGGCCGTCGCAATTGCAACCGTAGGCACATGCCGCACGCTGCAGGGTCCGCACTTGCGCCTTGCAGCTAGACGGAGTGTCGGCTGCCCAAGGGCATCGGACACTAGTCAATCATGTTCGTAGAATATACACCATGCATACGTATGTCGCGCGCCTCATGTAGATAGTTGCAACACCACTATGCTAACATGGGAGTACCACGATGGAGCTTGTCAGCATATCAAGGTAAGGTGCGGTCCGGGCAGGCTCTCAAGATAGTATAGGCAGAGTACGAATAGACGACGGAAACAGCATCTATTCCAGGGTGGCGAGGAGAATAGAGGAAGACGATCATAGGCGCTGCGCAAGGGAGGTACGGAATTCCGCGTGTACGCCCCCCAAGCGCCGCCGCCGTCGCGGCCGTTGTCCTCGTCGACTGTACCTTGGTGTTAATAGTAGCGGTCTCGTCTTTAGCATATAATCATATGCAGATATTTTGGATCTAATTAGCAATTTTGTTTGGTTGTGAGAAGTCGTGCCAGCATATTCTATAAACCCTCCAGCCCAAACAACGCACGAGTAGCAGATGACACAAGCAGCCGTGAAACCTGCCCACATGTCATACTATGATATCAGATTAATTGGGCGGAACCTCGTCTTGTCTGTCCGTTCCCTCCCTTGTCCGCAGCGCGGCCGCAGAGGTGCGCAACCCCGGCCGTGTCCAGCGACTTTTCGTCCAAACTTGTTCGGGGCAAACCATCCATCCCATGCTACTGCAAGGATCTGCTTTTCCATCCCGGCATTTTGCGCCACTGAGCATGGGGGTCGCCGGGGACGGACAGTCGATGGAGTCTGAGTCCCGCAGCTGTGTGGGCAAATATTGAATTATCTGCTCTCCTCTCCTCTGGCCCCCCGACAGGACCTGGGCATGGGCAGTCATCAACTTTGACGGCAGGGCGACCACGAGGACCCAAGGGAAAGGCAACCTCTCGGCGAGTTGCCGACCCAGGTCCAAGCCAAGGCGTTGCAAGATTGGTTTCCCCGTTCACCGAACTGCTGCTCTACGGCTGAGAGAACAAAAAGCGCGCCGTTACACTACAGCCGCTGTCCACTTTTCTCACGTCCCCCCCCCCCCCCCCCAGCTGTAAACGCCATACGTTCGCTTGTCTCGGAATAAACAGCAATGGCATCTCGACAACGTCAACACTGCTTCTGCCGTAGTCACGGGTCCTTCGTCTATGCTGGCTCTCAAGATATCTGGCTGCTTAGACACAGGAATAGCCCCGAATTAAGATGCGTGCGGAAGATGGCTCAAATGGACAACCAGGTCACAGTGGCCTCATCTTACAGTGATAAGCAAAGCCAAAGGAATGACAAGGTGTGGTCACGGCCCATCCCCCCCTCCCCCCCCATCGAGATACGCTCTATCTAATGTACTATGTATGTAGTAATTCTTCCCACTGCCAGCACCGAGGCTAGCGGCCCGGGATCAGGACCAGGACCAGGAGTGCAACATTAAATAAAAAATAAAGGGCAGGGGAGATCCACCAAGGCAAACTCGGCAGAGCCAAGAGGCAGAAAAAAAAAGGGGGGGGGCAACGCGCAGGCTTTGAGGGTCCGAGAACACTCAAGAGTCAATCAGAGATGCCCGGTTTGATGAGCCTGTGGGCTGGTAGCTCACATAAGCGGTTTAGCTGCAGCTGTTGGTGCCGCGACAAGCTTGTGCCCCGGGGTCCCTTCAACCGTTGTCAGCACATCAAATGATCATTTGACGATCGTCCCTTACCGGCTTCTGCAACCTCTGGTCTAGGTACGTACTATGGAGAGTGTCCGCACTGAAATGGATCTGATGGAACCCACGAGTCGCCGTCCCGACTCATTTGCTTGCTTCCTTTGGCACTAGGGCTCCAGCCGAGCCTTGCAGTGGTCTCATATACTCGTATGGTTGTGAACTTGGGATGATGCAAACCCATCTAAACTATTCGCAGCCGACGACGTCGACAAGCGAGATGCTGATTCAGCAGGCTTTTTCCTCGGGGTTTGTTCTTCCCCCATGCCACCCCCACCCATGCATCGTCGCCTTTCTTTGGACAGTGTCAATCACCAGACTACCACTACCCACCTGTTGCCCCCACGGTAACCGTCCATCCAGTCTTGTCATGTCGGATTATCATCCAGCCTTCAGCACATTCTGCTTTGGCCTCCAAGAGCAGTACAGGTTCGCAGCCCCGGTCCCTGCGCGGCAGCCAAAGCTCCAAGCCGCAGCTTGGCTTCTTCCGACTTGACTTGCACCCTTTAAGCAGCCCACCCAGCACAAAAGTCAATGCCAGTGCAGATGTTTCAACAACGGAACGGGCTGCTCTAGCGGGAGCAGACCCAGCTCGTCGCTGCCCACCGTGCGGCCCGTGGCTGCCCGTTTGAGGAAATTGGCCCTGCAGCTAGTTCCGATGGCGTGGCCGTCAACTCCGAATTGGGATTGGCACCGGCATGCAGCCACCAAGCCCGAACCCGGACCTCATCCCGCTCCTCGACCAATCATGACATGGCTCCCTCCAAGGCGCTTGTAAGTCTCATCGACGCCTCATGCTATCAAGCAGTTTGCGGGTTTGCGTCCAACCCACGCTGTTTTTTGGACGGGACAACAGCCACGCCACAAGCAGCACGCATGGACGCCCGCGCATCCTTGATGGACGTCGCGACGTACACCCAACACACTGGCCTGGCTGTGCATCGCTTGATTCCTTCCCCAAAGTTCGCACCAGCGCATAAACGGTTAGTGGCTTGCTGGGAGGCACTTGGAGTAATGTGCTGCCATCGTGTCCCCTTCCTCGGCCCATGTGGAGTTGGCTGCTCTTTCTCCAATCGACGGTGCGTTGCTCTCCATTCAAGCTTAGGCTCTGCTTCGGTCAAGCCACCGCGCTCACGGGTCTTAGATGGCGACTGCCATCCCGTCGTGGTTTGGCCGACAAAGCTCTGTCGAGCCAAGGGACGAACAACATGTCTATTTCAGGACCGCGCACGCTTAGGGCCCGTTGGCTGTAAGGAATCTCTGTAACGCGTCGGAGCCTGTTGACGCCATCGCGACTTGAAAACGTGGCGAGGTCAATCTCAACTACTCCATCCAGGCGTCTATCTCTCTTGATCGTCATGGTCTCCGAGATCTGCGACAAGGGCCTTCCCCCCGTAGATTCTTCTCCCAGACACCGAGCGCTGTTACCTATTACATTGAGTTCAGTTCTGCACGGGTTCCGCGACGTTTACTACGTAAATTTCGGAAATACCTGGTGTCGTGCTGGAGCGCTTGGCATGGACGAGACGGCAACTTTATCCTTCCGCATTGACCCAACCTTTATCGTTGAAAGACAAAGGGGTACGAACAATTCATTTCCCACAAAAACGCCTTCTTCCCAAAATGGAGCGTTGAAACGCCGGGGATATGTCATTCAGCTTGACAAGAGCATTCGCATCCCAGGGGTCACCATACGCGCATTTCCGGTTACACTCTGGGGCTGCTGCCTGTTCTACACGATCTCCACAGCTAGTGTATATTCCCAGTTTCCAAGTGCCGCACTATACTGGCCATCTGACCATGGTGCTTGACTATCCCATCCGAGTGACGTGATCTTCGGTCTAGGCCAACTTCCAAATTTCGCACAAGGCGTCTAGAAACACCCGAATGCGGCGGTGACTTCTCCTTTTCACTCGCTGAATTGCGCGGCCTCCCGATGGAGCTTTGGGCCGTCAAATAGTGTAATTTGGCCATTTCTGTTGCCCCCCATGTGGGCCATTTGAAGTCATGTGTCAGAGACGCTGCTCCCAAGACTCCACGACAATGGGGGCCAATCAAAGGGAGGGGGAGGGGCACGAAGATCTTGAATCATTGTTACGGAGTGTTAGGGGCCATGATCGTCCACGTATTGCTGATCTTCCTCCTAGTCTCCGAGAGTCCTTAACCACACGAAACCAAGGTTGCGAATAGCCACGTCTTAAGAGAAGGATGCTGCCACAGCAAAGCATCAAGCGTCCGGCTCATTAGGGGTTTCAGGGTTTCGGGGTTTCGGGCTAGAGGCTTATCTCGCCTCTATCCATCGCAAAAGGATGGGCCGGGGCTCGCTCGACCTGTAGATCTAACGGGTTGGTGCTGGCTCGAGCCCTTCGACGAACTCTGGCAACGCACAATCTGTTTCCCTGAATGTTAAGACTTGACCCTTTCATCTACGAACTACCACGCAGGGATTCAAGATTGCCAAACGGGATACACTTTTGGCGAGTGCTCTGTTTGGTTTCAACATTGAGCAGCTTACAAGGCTCCTCGGAAATCGGCGTTTGGGGGACAGACATCTCATTTCGTCTTGTGATCAAATCATTGAGATATTCGTTAAGCATATTATGGCACAGTGACGACACAAAATGGCGTGGGCTTGGGTTATCTTGTAGATCACGTCACACCCTCAGACTCTACATATCATCTGGGGGGCTGCCTTGACCCTACTTGGATGATTCTCGGCTTGCGTTGCACATCAAAGTAAGTCTTTCGCCATGTCTTTTATTTCCAGAAGCTTCCGCTCGATGGCAAACGGCCATTATCGTATAGTATATAAACTTTAGGCCGTGTTGGACACGCACATATTGAGCTTTTCGGCCTCATTTACTACGCAGGTCTTTGCGAACCCAAACGGGCGGAGTGATTGCTTGGGCTTGTATTTTGTCCCAAGCGTAACTTACTTGCTGCTACTTTCTCCCTTTGGGTGAGGTTTCAGAAGCCGTCGTACGGGCCTGTGTTTCGCTGAACGTGTCCGACGCTTCAGGGGACACCGAAGGAGGGAGCCTTCCCCTCGCTTCCGCGACGCTGGTGTTCGACTGTGTCTTACCTCAATGAACCAGACATCGAAGTGTGACCGTTGTTCGGTTTCGAAAAGTAATTGCCATTGTCGAAGTGCGCGTGTGCCAGTCATGTTGCATATTCCGTGTGTTGTTGTTGACAGTTGATCCCGGCCTATGACGCTGATGACTGCGAAGACGCGATATCGGACCTGAGATACACCACTGAGTGTCCCCCTAATGCCTGAGTGACTACGGCATTGAGGATATCTCTGGTGCCTTGCTGTGACGGGCTCTTACAATGAGGACCCCGAATCTCCTTGGCAAACCTTGTGGAATATCGAGCTCACACAAGTCTGATAGGAGCCCTCAGCCTTGAAATGGATCAAGAACGTTGGGTCATGACCACTTTCGCATACCATTAACCTCACTTGTTGTTTTTTCCGCACCTCTTCGCCCCCATAAACAGCTGCTTGAGACAGAGACTGTGTATTTTCTGCAAATATCAGCTTTATACCCCCTGCGCCCTCTTAATGACGCAATTGCAGCAACTACTAGACAGATGATTATGTCGCAGTGGAGGCCTGAAAGCCGCGCAAGGGAACGGCTGTTCACGTCTGAGACGTAGGAGCTGTATTGAGGCAGACATCGCCAGCTTGTCACTTCCCCGGCGCTTGTCCTTTCATCCGCCTTTCTTGGTGGTTTTAGCAACCGAAGCCGTATTATCTTGGGGGATCCGGGTTCCAGCGAAACCAGAGTGTGTATTGGAGCAGCTGCTACGTTGTCCGCCCGCGAGGACTCGTAAGCGAGGCTGCGTAGTACATTATCCGGCATTAAAGCTCCGCCTGACGAGAAGATTCAAATCTTCCGTACATACGAAACTTCACCAGGGGTTAAATTAAGGCCCGAATTCATATCGGCAACAGAAGAAAAGGTCGATACCGGTGTCAGAGAACGCGTTTGTTACTTCCTTGAGGACAAGACGGCATCAAATAGCTTCCGTATGTCCCACTGAAGACTTTCTCACTGTTCCTGAGAGCGGTCGGTCACCAGTCTATCATCAAAATATGGACTGTTGCGGTCATTCATGCTTCTTCAGCCGAGAAAAACAAGAGGAGAGATGGCTACTGCTTCTACGCATAGATTAGTCGAAGTGATGAACCTTAGCAGCCATGGCTTAAGCCTTGAAGGTGACGACCCCATGTATATAAAGAGCGTGAATCGCAGCCTACAATCTGTCTTAAAGTTTGGACTTTAGTCATTGATTGCCTCCCGGTCGATGGAGAGGGAGGACAGTAAGCAAGTCGATCGGAATTGTGATGTGGAAATAGTCAGGAGGCTCTGCTGCCCTAGGGAGCATGTGGGCTACAGCGCCTGGCAAAATAAGAATGAAATCATGATAAAGTCGCTTCCAGGAAGGTACAGAATATCAAAGGAGAAAATCGAAGGGCTTGGCACCAAATTTTGAGTGAATATCAACCGAGCGTGGTCAGGACCTGCGCGTTACTCAACTCATTGCTACCTCGGTCGTTCGTGGTTGGGTAAAAGTTGAAGAGACAAACCACGCTCTGAAACTCTGTGCGCATTGTACACTATTGCAGCAATCCTTTGGAGTTATCTGTTCCACCATGTGCCCCGATAAATCTGTATTGATCATGCCTGCGTATCACAACGTGGCTCCAGACCCGTTCCGATGTCTTTCCCCTTCCTATCATGTTCTCATTAGGAGAGGTCTTGGCACGCATTATATACTTCCAGGTGGTTTCTTTCTCGTTGCCTGCGGGCAAGCATCGGCCAAGTCCGTCCTCTTTGGCCAGTACTACTCGCCATGTTTGGTACGCACCTTGCCGAAGGCGTATAAAACGCCAACCTGCATGACCTCTACATTGCGCTGGAATTGTTCACTTATACTGCCATTTACTGACCTAGCGGTGGTCTTAGTCTCTTGACCCCACGAAACGAACGGATGATGCCAAAAAACACTGACCACGCAGACGAAGTCAACGCGGGTGCGGTTCAGTAAAGCAGGAAGACATAAACACTGATGCTGAGAGGAACATGAAGTATTTATGGCGCTGGAGATGGCACCGATGTATACATCAGCAGTCGCTGGCGCCAGCCACAAAAGGAACAGGATGGGTGGGCGGTTAAATCAAGCTCTGAGAGACAAGACGAGCCAAGTCACACGCACCCTTTCCCCAACGACTTCGTCCCCACTCGCCGTGCTTAACGTTTATACCACTATCTCCAACATACTCATAGCGGTTTAGCGTGCTGAGGCATCCCCGCTGATAACCGGAACACGGCATGTGCGCCCAGGCTCTCACCTCTGGATTGGCTCGTGGGTTTGGCCTCGTCCATCTTCACCCATACAACCATACCACATCACACCACTAAATCTGCCCCCCCCCCTCTCCCCGTCGACCAGGGGCTTCTTTTATCTCCGCAGAGACCTGCAAACCGCCCTTGACCCTGGATGATTTAAGATCCTATCGCAACGATAACGGCCAGCCATTCGGGGTTCGAACCGGTATTGACCGGCGATGAGGGGGGTCTTGATACCGTGACCGTTGGATACGACATGGCTTGTTCGCACCAGACTGCTTCAACCATGTCAATAGGGAATAAGACGAACATGTCTCCCCCACACTCTTCCGCTGCTGTCGAAGCCGGCGATCAGATCCAACCTCTTCTTCGCAGAGTTAACGGCCCAACATACAGCACCAGCTCCGCAATGGCATCCAAAGATGTCGAGACCATCGCTGTGGCTCTGGACGCAAAGCCTGGCCCCGAAGATGCTGCCCTGTCCGAGGCCATCCGACTCGAACACAACTTGACCTTTTCCCAGGCCGTGAAGCTTTACCCCACTGCCATTGGGTGGTCTGCTTTTGTGTCTCTCGGGGTCATCATGCTGGCCTTTGACCCGCAACTACTAGGCAACCTCTACGCCACACCTCAATTTCAACGAGATTTTGGCTACGAATATGAGGGCAGTGTGAGTCCTCTACTTCAGTTAACTGTTACCTTTTCACTGACTGGCTGTACAGTACATTATCAGTATGCAGAGACTCGCCATTGATCCACTCGCTCACAACATTGACTTACTTGCCTAGGCGCTGCATGGCAAACTGGGCTGTCCATGGGAAACCCCGTTGGCCAAGTCGTCGGCGCCTTGTTCGCGGCGTACCCCATGGACTGGTTCGGTAGGAAGTTGACGTTCGCCGCATGTGTGGTGCTCACCGCCGGTATCGTGTTCATACAGTTTTTCGCGCGGTCATTGCCCGTCCTGCTGGTCGGCGAGCTTATTGGGGGCCTCGTCCTGGGTATGTACGTCGTCATCGCTCCGGCCTATGCCTCCGAAGTCTGCCCCATGGCTCTCCGTGGCCATCTCACGTCCTACGTCAACCTCTGCTTCGTCATAGGCCAGCTTCTGGCCAATGGAGTGACGGCGGGGACTTCGAAGTTTGATACCCACTGGGCCTACTCGCTCCCCTTTGCGCTCCAGTGGTTCTGGATTCTGGTCATTTTGCCCGGCCTACTCTTCGTACCGGAGAGTCCCTGGTGGCTGGTCCGTAAGAACAGGATGGACGAAGCAGAAAAAAGCCTCCGTCAGCTGGCTTCCAGCAAAGTCAATATCGCCGCTTCTTTGGCCTTCATCGTTGAGACCGACAGACTTGAGCAAGAGCTGGAAGCGGGTAGTACGTATGAGGATTGCTTGAAGGGTGTCAATTTAAGACGAACCGAGATTTCAGTTGGCGTCTACTGCACCCAGGTTCTTAGCGGCATATACCTCATCAATTATGGCACGTACTTCTTCCAGCAAGCCGGTCTGCCTACTGATAAGGCATTTGATATGGCCATTGGGTTCCTTGGTAAGCTACAAGTCCTTGCCCGCGTGACGCTGTGCAGTGACTAAGTATTATAGCCGTCGGGTTCATCGGCACCGTCATATCTTGGTACTTCTTGATCCATTACGGCAGGCGAACCATCTATATCACCGGCTTAGCCGCCTTGGTGGTCTTGCAGCTACTCATCGGCATCCTTGATTGCGTCCCGGGACGTCCGAAGGGCGTCGCTTGGGCGGAGTCATCCTTGATGCTCATCTGGAACTTTGCCTACGACCTATCCGTTGGTCCCATCTGCTTTGTCCTCATCTCCGAAGCCTCGGCTACAAGAGTCCGGTCGAAAACGATTGCCCTTGCAACAGCCGCTCAGGGTGTCCTTGGGATCATCATGACTGTCGCTATACCGTACATGATCAACCCTGACGAGGCAAACATGCAGGGGAAGCTAGGGTTTTTCTTTGGGGGCTTAGCTGCCTTGTGCTTAGTCTGGGCCTGGTTCCGCGTCCCCGAGACAGCGGGGCGCACTTACGAAGAGCTCGACATCTTGTTCGAACAGCGGGTCCCGGCGCGTAAGTTCAAGGGTTACGTCGTTGAGGGTATGACTCCAGCCAACCAAGAGTGACCGACCATGAAGAGTCACAAAGCGAACCAGGGGCTTGGAACTACTAGAAGGGTATTAATATTGGCTCTTGGGATCGCTAAGGTTTCTGGACCACCTGCGACCCAAAATATGGGTGCATCGTGTTGGCACCGCTAAGAAAGCTGTATCTAGATTCCACCTCTTGTTCTAGAACAGTAGGAGTAGAGTAGTCATTTCAGACCAGTTTTCAACTCTCATCTCTTTTTGCGCCACCGAAATACTAGATGAGCAGTTGCCCATCACTTTTCTTCGGTAACACCGATTTCATATCCTATGAGAACCTCGGTGCTCGTGCCTTCCCAGCCACGTGTCCCGGCAGCCGAGAGCATGAAGCGGCATGTCCGGTCAATGTAGAGGGTTGATATGACACCGGCGCGCGGGGGGCCGGGAATAATCAGGAAGGGGACCGTCGAGTGCTTGAATGCGCGCGTGTCTTTCAGATCGTACAACCGGAGAATATCATGTGAGGCACTGTCTGTATGTTAGACCGAATACACCGTCTCGACTCATGCTTCCTCAACTTACCAGACTAGATGTCGGCCATTCGGCATTGCTCGCACTGCGCTCACAGCTCCGCTACCGGCCGGGAACTTGAGAGTCCGTTCCGGGGCCCATCCACTTCTAGCTTTGTGGATGCTGTACTCCTCTACTGTTCCGTTTCGTCTACCAGCGTAAATCCAGTTGCCATCTGGGCTCCAGCAAGCGCCCATGCACCAAGGGGGTACGCCCCGCTGGTTGCTTATTCTGGCAACAGGGTCTTGCACACGCCGGTCCCACAGTCTAATTGTGCCGTCGATGGCTGCGGAGAAGAATATCGTATCGGCTGACTGGGTGGGATCCATGGCTGGAACAGCGGGCTCTGATGCGAAGACCATAGACGGTGATCCGGGTGCTGGCTCGTCTATCTGTGCATCAGGCACTGGGGGGACCTCCGGGATGTCGGAAGCTAGGAGCTGTACGGCAGTATCTTTCGCACCATCCTGCGTGGAGGGACGGTCCGGAGCCGCAACGTCCGGAGCCAGTGCTGGGGGCAGATGCTTTGAAGCTTCCGGACTGCTGCTCCCCCGAGGTTGAGCGGCTGGTGCCGAGGCTGAGTCGGCGTTAAATGCATTGGTCATGTCAATGTCGGCCGAATGGTCCATGCCCCCATCCTGCCCAGAGCCGTCGTGAAGCGGAGGCATTCCCATGTCACCCATTGCCCTTGAGAACTCATCATCGTCATCACCGCCATAGTTGGCTGCAACGTTATCACCGAAAAGAGATCCAGTGTCACTGCCACCAAAGAGCGACTCATGCGCGGGCGATGCCTGTCCCTCGGCGACCTCACCAGACGTGGCGGATGCCAACGCGTCAGCCCCGTTCGCGGCATCCGCAGCGCCGTTCTGCAGGGGCTTGTTGTTGTTCGAAGTAAATGTAGCGTCGAATTTGATGTCCTCCTCCCTCGCCTCGGCAGGAATTGGTGCTCCATTAACTGGGCGAAGCTCAATGGCAGAAATCTGGCCTCCGCTGCCGTCAAATGACCGCTTCACACCTCCTGTATGCAAGTCCCAATCGTAGATATTTTTATCCCAACTGCCGCTCAAAACACTCTTCTCGTCCTGTGCTAATGTCAAGACACTAACGGCATTGGTGTGTTGCTGCAGGCATGTAATGCGTTTTCCTTCGTCGTGTCTTACGCTTTGAAGGTTGATTCCACCTGATTCCAGGCCAGACAGAAGCCACAAGGCCTGCGAGTGAACGGCCAAGGAGTATACGGGGGATAGCACATGCTCCTCATTACCTCTGGGGTTGGGCGGGCCCGGCTCTTCATTTTCCCAGTACGACATAAGGATGCCCGCCTTGACGACACTATCGACGAAGGGGTGCCTTTGCGCAACTGTCAAAAGCTGCTTGCCGTTGATCGTACCCGGGCCGTCGTATTTTCGGATGTAGCCGTCAGAACCTCCCGTCATCCAGTACCGAAGGTCGGGCGTGATGGCGATGGCATTGATACTAGTTGCCTGGGGGGCGGCCATCGTAGGCACGATATCGTACAGTCGGGCTCTGACAGCTTCTGGTCGTACAGTCGGGAAAAGACTCGAAAAAGGCATTGGCGATTTGCCCTTGCCTTCTGGAGATGCCCTCGCGGCTGCCGACCCTGCTCTAGAGGGTTCTCTTGCATCACGTGCCGCTGCCTCGTCGCCCTTCTCTTGCGCGTCATCTCCGGTTTCTTCACGGTCGTTATCATCCTGCTCATCATCGTTATCGTCATCGTCGTTTTCCATGTCTCCATCAGCATCGTCTACGTCTTCCATGACCTCGTCTTGATCGTTTTGGTCATTCTGGTCGTTTGGGTCGTTTTCGGAGCTTGCGTTGGAATCTGTGTTGCGTTAGCAGGCTAGCGAAGATGTGGGATAAATGCATATCGCCCAAGCGTGCCTCTATCATCGTCGTCCATGGCGGAAGGCCCTGGTAAACAGCAGTCGAGCAGTTACTGTGAGATTGGGTGCAATAAGAAGCGCAATTGGTTCCGTAGAGGTCGCGATGTCGGCGGCTTTGCGCATAGGCCCAAGAGTTGGGATGTTCTACTATGATTGCAACTGTTACTTGTGTTAGTCGCACAAGTCCAACGAATTGCAAAGACGAGAGCTGATTGTATGTGTCGGCAACAATGTGGTGTTGAGGGCGGTATGTGGCGGAGGCGCAAACTCGCATGGAATCGTCGCGAAAGCTGAAGGTCGCGCGACGTGACTGGGGGGCCGTAGTAGTGACACAGTGGGGGCTTGCAAGGTTACAGAACCCAGCCACACTAGCATCCCTTGGAATCGCACTCATCATCCGCGAAAACAAACCCGGGGCCGCAGTTCCTACCGAGGATTCCGCGTTGAGGAGCCCGGTCCGGCTGAACTTCGGTGCCGTTTGAAAGAAGGGGAGCCGTTCGTTCCCACCGGAAAACGGGCGACATCGCTTGCTTCTTACCCCAGCAAACCTCTTTTTTGTACTGATATTAGTTATGTCCAATCACATATATCAGCCAATGCTCGGGCTTTTTACATTGAATGAAGTCCTCTCTCTCTTGGACCACGAGCTGCTACTCCAAACGAAATCAACATGAAGCCAGCTCGGTGTCTCCGCTCCAGCAGGTGCGCTCATGGGATCAACCAACAACAAGACAAGAAGCTTTTGATGCCGTTCCTTCAAAGTACTCAAAATTCGATTGACTGGGCGAGGCAAATACGATTAGGCCCAGATGCCACATAAGAGCTGTTACAGGGCCCTAACCAGTCTGCAATGCCGCCCTCAATGATGTTCCTGACAACCGCTTGGGCTGACAAGCCGTAATGCGCTGGGCTTTATCAAATCAAGTCTGACTAGCGAACGGGCGATTACTATGCCGTTTTAGCTTACCGTCCATCACCACTATAATTGTTCGCCAACTTCCCTTAGTTCTCCGGTGTTATATTCTCCGCCTCTTTATTACTGGGTTGAGCCACCTGAGGGGTCCAAATTCCAATACTTTCCGGTTCTGTCGAATCTCCCTTCCAACTGACTTAGAAGTCCTTTCACCACACTATTTGTCCTTCTTATCTTCCCATGATCTCCGGCAGCCTTTGCCAGAGCCTGTCTGCCGTCTTCATACAGCGGAGTGATATCAAAAGACAATACATTTCCAATGGGGTAATTAATATACTGGTGGAGGCTTGTCACTAAGGCGAGTTCGCACACGGGAAAATCTCATTCGTTACTTCAACCCTTGATTTACCCAGTATATATTCCGGTCCCTACCTCAGCAAGGCTCTCTTGCTCAACTTCGCCGATTAGCTTTCATTTTTTGTTACCTTTTCTTTTTTGCATATTCTAAAAACCAGTCAGATTCCATCGTACTTGCTTTTTGCCCCTTTCCTTCACATTTACTCGCTTATTGTCACTTCCTTACCAGATCAGAAACCAGATAATGGTTCTGTACGCCCGAGTTGCCTCTGGCTGAGGTAGTCATGAAGAAGGCGGCCGAGATTTCCAAGAGAGAACCTCCTTAACGACTGTATCTCCAGGTCTTATTCCTTAGCGTCGGCACTCATTAACTTCTCCGCGGTACACGCCCGACATTTCTTCAATTGGCCTGCCTCTCAACGTCTGGTCCGAGGCAAGATCGTGGCCTTGCCCTTGGGTCGGACAACTTCCAGACGTGATGCGTTGTGGCGGTGCTACCTGGCCGCTACGATGAACCTATAGATAGCTATATGAGGCCGTCTCCTTTGGATCTGAAAGTGTTGGATGCCAAGATCAATGTTGACCTTCCGCAGCCCGACCGGTATTACTTCATGGTTAAGCGCGCTCGAAACTGTATGAGGCCTTTGGGCTTTGGGTGAGTGATGGGGGGAGGGGTTAAGGAGACGGCTTAGGATAAATAAAAACGACTCCCGAGAGTGTCGCAGAACCAACGTTGATCAGTTCAAAAATCGCCATTTGACAAGTCAGAAGTTTGAATAATATCGATCGACCTGAAGTTATGCCCTGCTATACTTCATCCGTTGGTATCACTGTCATGTCCGCCCTCGAGGTCCTGCTGAGCACACAGTCAATCTGCCCACCAGTTCTCATCACAGTGCAAAAGAATGAAACCGCCGACGAGCTGCTGCTCTGCTGTCACAGGCTCGGCATCAACTTCGTTCGTCTCGGCGGAGTGAGCAGGCCGTAAGACATTCTTTCATTCATAGACTTGGTGACCAGACACTCCCCTCAGAGTCTGATCGAAGCGTCCGCGTGCCTCTACAAGATGCTGGCGGTTTCGAGATGGTTATATACAACCCTCTGTGACGTCGCTCCCAGTTAGAGCAGCCCTATATTCAAGAATATCTACATCGTCGTGTTGACTAAGCCGACTATTTGTGCCATTGCCAGGCAGATCGACATGGCCGTCAAACAACTTAAGGCAACCCGATGCCAGAAGAACGTCGACGCCACCCGGAAGCCAGATGAATGAGAGATATTTGCAAGAAGATGATGTTACGGGATGCACTGCGGGCGGAAGACCGGCATCACGGTTCGATATGTGATCAGAAGTGCTACCGGCGAGATGACCGTTCCAGTTTCGACGATGACTGCTTTCCAAACTTGACTTACAGCGGTCTTTGCCAATCGGAGCTCAGTGTTATAACCACAGACAGATCCACTACCAACGGTGCGTAGACGCCACTCACGCTCTCCATCGGACTGGGTTATCGGTGCAGTGTGTCGAGGAGGACCTTGTAAGCCTCAGTGGCCTATGAGGCTCCTCGAAGGACGCCTCAGGATGAAAGCAAAGGACACAAGTCGAAGTTGATTGGGACGGGCGTGCAAGCGACTCGATGGTAGACAGGGAAGACGGAAAGGGACTCAATGTCGATACACGTTGGGAAGATTCGACTGGGCTAAGACAATCAGTGTCCGTGGGTATGCTTCGAACAACGATCTCTCGGCAGCAAGGAGTCGAAACGTAAGAGACAGACCATGACGCAGCGTTGTGATTTCACACAAGCAGGTAAGGATATCAAGTGGTCGGCTCGGACAGATGATGTTTCTCCTGCAAGACGGTTGCATAACCTTATCGATAACTTATCAGCGTATACCTGCTGCCTCAGTCCTCAGTTTCAAAAGATGGTCTTGGTTCCTTCTTCAGTGCCTCAGGCCATAGATACTTTCTCAGGCGTCCAACCCGATGTAAAAAAAAATCGAGCCTCTAACCAACATCTGCTCCTTACCCACACCCCCCCCCCCCCTTGTCCTTAAGATGAGAAGAGACACCTTTCACTTTCCTTCCCCGATGCGCGCATGAGGCGTCCAGGATGGTAGGGGCCACACCCGCTGCGGCAGAAACACTATCTTGCCTTTTCTGGTGTGGAGCGGGAACGAGATTTTCAGTGCACGCAACAAGCGGCCAGGAACTTCATTCCCCTCCCCCCGTTCGAGTCCACGTGCGGCCGAGTAAGTTTGCAATGCAATACGGGTTAGATTATCTTGTCAAAGCAGTTCACGAGACTTTCTTGGTGATATGAATCAATCTGCCCAATCCAGCGGCACGACACTCACTTTATATTATTCTTGTCATGGTGACGTGGGACCAGGGCAAGAAGCGGAGGACCAAGAAATCATGCCTATAGTGCAACAACTGGAACCATGCTAGCCTCTTGGAGGTTGATTTTCCCCTTCACACATCCACGCGGCACCTACCCAATTACCTACTTACTTAGTCTTGTCATCAAGGTCAACATGGTGTATTGATATACGCGCGCGCCGGCAGGGAGTCGAGACGAACGTGTATTCATGTTGGACAAAACTGTAGCGGCTCTGACCAGAGTGTATCTTGTCTTAAGCAACTGTCATGCCTAAAGTCTCTCTATTCTGTATGTACGTTTGGTCCGTCGACACCCCGTTCAAATTCCGTTTCGCCGGTTGATGGTATGCTGGGGAGTAAAACCCGCTCGAACTACCCCAGGCACCTACCTTGCTACCCTATGTAGTTACATAAGTGATTCTCTTTTCGACTGAATCGGGTAGATCTACAGAGGAGGCAGACCGTCGAGGCTCCACCCCCACATTGCCCGACAGGTGAGGAAAGGTGAGGAGGGTGCAAGCGTGGAGCACACACTACGTACTTGACTACTACGTACTGCGCTGCAACTCGTGCGTGGTGAGCCGAGCTCTCGGCACTCCCAAAGAGCCCCTGCGCCCTAACATGACAGTGTAGCAATTGACACTTACCTGCCGCTGGGTCGATCCGAGCATCCCGCGCGCGTCGTCGATCAACCTACCCGATCCATGACTCCGCTAAACCTATCGTCGCAAGCCAGGGGTTTACCATCCAATAACACGCCCCTCCAAGCAGACCAGGAGAGACGCCGTAGGGCTGAGTCAACGTCTTCTACATTCCATCTATGACACCATTGTGTCGCCTCCGTTAGGGGGGAAAATAGAAGGGGAAAAAAAAACAAGGAAAAAAAGGAGCCCATCATTATCGCGTCGTCTGCATATTCACAATAGCGCACAATAAGCAGGTCTCGCTGTCTTTTTGCTGCAATACATCTTGTATAAATTTGCCTTACTCGACTTGCTAACTATCCCCCGACTGCGCGTGTCAATGAATAGCCGCCAAAGCACGTTACAAGATGTCCTGCATTATGCGGTTTGCTGGAAGACGACTAGCTTCCCTCGCTCGTCCAAGTAAGCAAACAATCTTTCCACCGCAACCCGCAGGCTCAGTGAAATGGCAACACATCGACCGTGGGATGACCATCCCTACATTGCAACCCAATATCCACCAACCTAGCCATGAGAGAGGGGTATGATGACGACCAAGTAACCCAAATGCAGAGACAAAATCCAGACCGAATAATAAAAAGAAAATATCGTGGAGTGGGGTGACATGACTGTGGTAATCAATTTTCTGTCGCACTCCGGGTATCATGGTAGTAATCCCTAATGCTCTGATGTCTTGAAGGCTGCATCCGAAGTGATGCCAAATGAATAACGAGCAGGTCCCAAAACTGAAGGTAAAAGTAATTGAGACCATGATCCGCCCGTGCTGAGCGAAGTGACGTTGCGGGAGGAAGAAGTGAGTCCACCTGGCAATCATGGGGCATGTAAAAGAAACTGAAAAACCGTCCTAAACCGACATCGCTCTAATGCAAGATACCAACATATGAAATAAGAATGGACGAGAACTGGCCGTGTGGCCTACATGCCGTAAAGTGAATCGTAAACAGTAGTGAGGTGGACAGAAGGCTTCGTAATGCGGCGAACATGCAGGCATCAATGTACCGGCGCCGATTTATGAACCATGCCAGATGATCCATGCGATAAACAGTGTCTGAATTACCTTCAAACAAACTTGCTCATCCACTTCAGCTCGAGCCAGCCGACCTTGTCGAAAGCCGTCCATAGCTTTGAGGCTTTGTTCACATCAATCTTGCAGGCCTGCTGAGCGTCGGTCTTGCGGAACTCTTTGCCAACTCTCGCACATTCTAGCCGACGAACAAAGATGCGCCGCTTGCTCGTAAGATAGGTGGCGCAATCGAGCCGAAGATTGGCTGCGAGGCTGGCTTCGTCGGGGTGGAGTAAGTGGACGTTGGGGTCGTCGCTGAGGTCGATAGGAGCGCCCTTCCAGTCCACCTTCAATGAATTTGATTTTTCAGGTAGCGAAGATAGTGGAGGGCAATAGTCGGGTAGCGCTGCGAAGTCGCGGTCCTCTCTGTTCGGTGCAACTACACGACGAGCAGGATCCGGCGTGGCGCTAACACGGCGAATGTGACGAGTCGGAGGGCTGCTACGCACAGGTCGAGGAGCCTGAGGTTTGACAATACGGTCGGGCTTTGAGTTGGTAGATGAAGTGACCTTGGGTTTGGCCGGGGTAGGTTTCGTTGCCTTGTTAGGAGTAGACTTGGCTGGGGCGATGTTCTGATATCGCACGACGCTGTTCCACCGAGCATGGTTCAGCTTTCGGTCTGCCCTGACCTGTTCCCTCTCCTTCTCGTACCATGACTTCCTTCTGTTGGCAAACAATCTCATAACCTGGGACTTCAGTTGCAGGGCCAGTTCGTAATCCTCTCTCTGGGGAGGCGAGCCCTCGCGAAAAAGGCCAGGAGGTCGCGCAACAATGTGTTCGTCAACGATACGACGGTGCTCGATTGATTCGGTGCTTGGGAACAGAGGCGGCTGGGTTGGGCTTGAAACGGTATCGTCGCGAGGATACAAAATCGGGTCTTTAGCTGGTGTTCCAGGTACGGGAACATTGCTCGACCCTGTGATGTAGGGCGAGACAGGAGGCGACATTGGCATGCTAGGCTTGGTCGCTTCGTGTGCGTGATGCTTACCGGAAGTCATCGGCACAGAATTTTGCTGACCCTGGTTGAAGCTTTCATAGGGCAATGGCTCAGGAGGAGACATGAGGTTGCTGATATCAAAAGCTTTCTTGGTGTCCCGAGTCATCGTGGTCGCTTGCGGCGGCGTTGTGTTGTAGTTGGGTTCCATTGTCTGTGAGATGGTCGCAGTCGGGGAAGACTGCATCTTGGATATGTTAAAAGGAATTGGGCGAGTAAGGGTTATGTCAACGATTGCCGCTGTCGTAGACTGTGTAGGGGCGGTTTGGTTGGGTTTGTCAGCCATCTTGTAGTGTTGGCGGTGGCGAGGCACCACAGTATGGAGATATCGGAGTTGAACGAATTGGGTTTCGGCAGTCGGAGAAGATGATGGACTGCGGTAGAAGGAGCTCGTTCCACAGAATGATTCGAAAGTAGCAGCAGGCTGGAAAGGGCTCCTGGCTTTGACAGTGGTGTGATTGAAGAGTGGTTGTTTGTGGTGTGAGGTCTGGACGTCAATGGGGGTTTATGTTCCAATTGATAATGACGTGCGCAGCGAGAAGCTTGGGAGTGTGCCGCTTTACTGCGGTCGGGCGCTGACGCAGTAACAAGGCGGAGGAGGGTGATCAGTGTGAGAAATGCAATCCGCGGTCACTTTTGCGCTTGATTGCAAGAAGTCTCCATTGACTTGAAGAGCGAAACAATGGATGAAAGCGTGCCACAATAGGGGCAAGAAGGCAATAAAGATTGGGCAATGGCGACCCGAGCAACGGAGTGGATTGCTATCGTGGTGAAGGCTATTGGTGGCGGGAGTAGCAGAAGTAAGCGGTGTCGATGTGGCGATGGAACCCAGGTGGAGATTCCACGCATTTAAGAGCAGAAAAGTCGATGCGTAAGGGCAGCAAATGGGAAAACCTGGAAGAGGAGAAGAAGAGAGGATAAACAACGATGGCTTGGAGGGTAGTGAGAAGAAGAAGAGGAGGAGGAGGAGGAGGAGGAGGGAGAAGAAGAATAAGAGTGATTGGAAGTAAGGAGAAGCCAGGTGCAAAGTGGATGATGGATGACTAGAGGAGGAGGAAGGAGTGGACGAGTAAGGCAGGCAATAGCCAGGCAGGCCAGGTCAGGTTGGGCAGGCAGAAGGGAGTGGGAAGGGCGTGTCACAGTGAAGGGAAGTATCTATGAATACGGTACCATGCAGAAAGACGGTTGAGGGGACAAGATCATGGAACAAGAGCATCACACGGGCGAGGCAGAGACGGAGGAGAGGCCCATCGTACACTGACTACTTCATACACCCAGGTACATTAAACTCTAAGATCGAGGTAGGACAGCGACGGCATTGACAAGAGGCAGACGGAGAGAGTGAAAGTGAGCAGAGTCTGGGGGAGAAGCGCGGACGTCGACGTGGAAAGTGGGACCGCCCTCTGCTTCTTTCCTGGTTTGGTTCTGGTTTTGCCTGGGACAGAGAAGAGTCACTCGACAGGGCCACGCCCACACACCACCCCTCACACCTGCCCACCCGTTGCTGATCATACCCTGCACACACACCCGCCCCATGCCTGCCAGTTGGGCCATGTTCTGATAAAAACACACCCCTCTTGTGGATCACAACTACACACCCCTTTCTGCTGCTGGCGGCGGCGGCGGCGGCGGCGGCGGCGACAGCGACGCGAGGTATCGTTGTTGCCTTGCAGACTGCCCAGCCCAGTCAGACTGAGCCACACCTCATCACTCAATTGGCGTGGAATTGATTTGTTTATTGTCAGAAGACAAAACAACCAGCAATGACGCGGGGGAGGGGAAAACCAATCGTGTCCCTGTGGTTTGCTTCGGCCACCTACTCGTTACGTTGCGGCACTATGCTGCTTTAACCCCCGCTCATTATCTGCTATCTACCTAGGTATACCGAGACCATTGGACAGTGCGATTGTCACTGTCACAGTCTTTCCTCATCGTCTCGACTTCTCGGGCCTCACTGTTTTTTCTTCTTCTTCTTTTCTGTCCCTTCTCTTTCCTTCTTGTCATCTTAGCCCACTACCTATCCAATTCCCCACGAGAGGCATGCGTGGCGGTCTACACTATGTACAAGAAAGGCCAGGGGGTGGGATTGGTGTTTCCATTGCTGCTGCGAGTTGTCGTTGGTACAAAGTACAAAGGTGATAAGGCACTGTAGCGTTGGTACAGTCTAGGCCTGAGGAAGTGAAGGCAAAAGGAAAGGAACAGGGACTTGCCGTAAGTATTTTTGGGCATTAAAGGATCCGTACCGATCCCATGTAGTGTACATGCAGGGAAAACATATGTACTATGTACATTTGACTCCTGTGGGTGGTGCTGCGAACAAAGCCTGCCACAAAAAGTCGCCGTCAATTGACCCAATAGCCAGCCCGTGCCGCCGCTGTGCCCCTCCCCCGCTGCCCCTCCATTGGTTCGACGTGTAGAAGCCGCCGTCACAGCGCTACCGCTTTTCTGGTTGGCTCTCTGCCCATGACGACCATGTCGACATATATCGAGCCACAGAAATGCGATCAACATGAAAATAAGCATGCCGGTCTCGTCCAGTTCAATGTTCAATAGCCGTGCTACCAGCTCGACGGATGAGAGGCAATTTTGGCATTGACAATCAGTTGAGCCATTCAAGGATGAATTGACCACCTCTTCCTTGGAAACAGAACTGTCCCTGTCCATCACTGCGTCCTTTCGCTCTTACCTGATGCCAATACGTTCACCGGTTTTCGCATCATCCCAACCGCCCCCCTCCCCCCGTCATGGCGTCCAAGCAATCACCCACCCACCCCTCACACAACAAACGGTCAACACTTTGAGGCATGCCTATTCAGAATGAACCCACGAACAGTGCATCTGACGGCAGGCTGGGTGTGGGTGCGCGCGCGCGCGCGCGCGCGCGCGTGTGTGTGTGTGTGTGTGTGTGTGTGTGTGTGTGTGTGTGTGTGTGTGTGTGTGTGTGCCAAGAGGGGTGGGCGGGTGACAGGCTGTCTCTCATTCTGGCAATCTAGGTCTCAAACCGAAGTCATTTGTTCACCCATTCGACGGCCAATCAGCATCGGAGTTTATGAGCATTGGAACACAGTATGGGGACATCCTTAAGCCGACTGCTCTAATACTACCTTTGGCTAGATGGGTCCGTTCTAGCTGCAGAATCTCTAATGTACTGTCGCAGCGGGATTCCCTGGATCGATACCTAATCGATACCCAAGACAAGGGCCCCCTATGGCTACGAGAGTAGAGCACAGAATCTAGAGTCTGCCGTCCGTGTCGATGAGAAGAAGGTAGAGCAGTGCTGTAGCGGCAGGATTTGGAGGCTACGCCGCGATTGTCGATGGTTCAGCGGGGTGGGCGGGGGCTGCCCTAGCCTGGATGAACACAATATGGGACGGCATGAGAAACGAAGCCAAGCTGGAGTATCGTTTTGCTTCCAAAGGCGGCCAGTGGGGACTTGAGAGTCGGTTCGGCAATGTACTACATATCCTCCTGTCACCGCCTCAGGCGTGTAAGCCAGGTGACGAGCTACTTAGCCTCCCGCCGATACCAGAACAGAACGCTCGGGACAGAGAACAAATTGAGTCCAAGTCTCTTCTGACACTACCAACCCAACCTTCTGCGGCGCTTGGATGTCAAAGAAGCACAGTAACCGCCAACCTCGTCGGCAGGCAACATAGTTGCGACGAATTATGGCTACGGCTCACTGCCCTCTGATGGTCATGCAACTGAACGTAGGCAGCGAATCCAATGGGGCTGACCCAGCGGTAGTGTAGAGAAGCCCAAACAAGTGCACGAAGCGCATAGGATGCCTGACTTGAATCCCATCTTCTCGGACTTCCAACATCCTGAGCGAAAGTACCTTGCGTTGGTTTCCGCGAAACCGCTTCTTCAACTAAAAGAACAACATGGACGCGACGCCAACGGGAGAGGCCAGTTGTCTCATGGACAACCCAATTGGGAGCAAAGCCGCATTCGATGACCACACGTGTAATTCCAGATTGGATCAACGCGCTGCTGCAGGACAACAATGGCAAAGCAGCCAAGTGCACATTCCAAGCGATATAGATCTAGCCCACGCAATCCGGCGAGGCGTAGCGCTGGCGAGGCCAATTACGATCGATATGTGATGCGGCCGCAGGCGAGCAGAGCAACGCTGTTGGCAAATTCAATTCGAGCAAGGTAGGTAGCCGGAGTGGATGACAGCGAGCTAGTGAACGGGGCCCGTAAGGCGGGCTCGCAGGCCCTTGTCCCTGTGTGAAATCCTTTGATTCGGCCCAGACAGAGTTTCTTGATGCCAGTCGCTGCGGGAAGCGTGGCAAGGCAATCGGCAACGGGATGACACAAGTTGAAGCATGAGAGGTGACGGGGAAACGATGAGCAATTGACCAATGAGTAGACCATTGACCGCCCCAAGGCGCATCAAATACTCCAGTCGCCTGCCTACAAGTAGACAACGTCAACCTCAGCTTGCTCCGCCTCTGAGAACGGGTGGCAAGTTGGGGCCACCAACCAGATGAAAAACATGGAGGAGTAGTGCTTAACGAAGTGGCACCCAAGGCCCAGGCTGTTGACGACAAGAAGAAATGGAAGAGATGCGGTGAGGGAAGCTGAACCGGCATGAAGAGGCGGAATTGGTGCCAGGCGGCCTCCGGTTTCGTCCATGCTATTAGCATTGAGTCTGATGAATGAATCGTTTGGCCTGGGTCTTCCGAAATCCGCCATACGTTTTAAGTCGAGAGGTTGCGTTTTGATAAGCACCAGGGCCCATATTCGACGGGAGCAAAGTCGTACAAGTCGACGACAGACACATGTATGGACCGAGGGTGCTTGTGCAGTCCCGAAGAGGACAGTGCAAGTGCAAGTCCATGTACAAGTGGGAGAAGAAGGTACACTGTAAAGAAAGGGTAGCGAGGCGACTGGGTTTGGGCTAGAGCGCGGCCAAATGACTCTTCCATGTACGTCGAGTTACGAAATACAAAACTCATCAGTTCGCCGGTCGTGCCTAATCCGGCTGGGTCACTGACGGCAGGTCTGGCAAAGTGTACTGTGTGTGAGTCACAAGGAAAGCGACTTTGGACGATGGAGAATGGGAAAGCAACCGAAAAGGCGGCCTCTCGTTGGTCTTGCCGC